ATTGTTATGTCTTGATTCTTTTGGAGTTGTAATAATGTATCGGGATATTGTCCGGATTACTAGATGTAATGTCGTGATTTAGATACACACTTTATCTATATATTGAGGTATTTCAGTAGATGTCTTAATGCAATTTACATACAGGCGTTATTTTATGAAATTGATTAAGTAATCAAGTTGGTAATTGATAATGACGTCATAATTGAAAAGAAAAAGAATATTCTGCATTTTTAATTAAGCACCGCTTAATACGATGTAATGTTAATATTCCGGGTATACACGGGGTGTTACAGTCCTCAAGGATCTTCCACCCCAAGCTCACTTACATGTGAAATATAAGTTCCAAAACAGTTTAACAATATCATTTCCAAAATAGTGCAATGCAGCAGATAATCATGTCATGTGTGTCAATACAATAATCTACTGGCTAGAGAAATGTAGGAATACGTCTATTACCCACACAATACGCGCCCTGCCGTACCTACCCTTAGGATACCATCCCATCGGGTGAACTCCACATACATATCATAAGCCATTGCACAATATAAACTCAAAAGCATTTCAATATATCAAAGCATGTAACACAACATGCATATAACCATATCCCCATGGGCCATGGTGAAACCACAACATGGCTAAACCGATGACACGAAAGCTTACCTCTTAAGCTAACTATCCAATCCAACAGTCCACAGCTCAAAGTCCAAACACAGCAGAATCACAATTTGTTATGAACCAATAATATATCAACAATCATACTCTACAAGCATACAACATAAAGACAACGCATTTTCTTACGTTTTACGTCTTAAGGCTTCACACAAGCCACAAGCCCTTAATCACTTGATTCTGACTTAGTTCAATTATTATAGAAGTTCAACTTCCTCAATCTAGGGTCCACAAACCCCCAAACATCAGTTCTGGATGAACAGTTAGCTATTGTTCCTCACAACCCAGAATATCCGGATATTTGTCGGGGACATATCCGGATATATCCATATCCGGATATCAAAAGACCCCATATCCGGATATCCATATCAAGATATCATATCCGGATACCAATATCCGGATATCCATATCCGGATATTTCACGACAGAATGCAGTTCTGCATTTTGTGAATATATCCTTCAAAGGTTCCACTTTTAACACTTCCAAACGTTAAAGCATGCATCTTTACTCTGTTTTAAGTTCACATACCAGTGGGTTACTTGTTTAACTCATGAAACATACCAAAACATCAACTTTAACCCATTAAACTCATGATCAAGGTTGGTGACACTTACCCAAGCTTCAAGGCAGCAACCAAAGTGCTCTTGGAGCTCACAAACCAGCCTCAAGGTGCTGACACAGAAGGGTGCACGAAAATGGTGCTCAAGACTTGATTTTTCTTCACAAAAGTTGACACTTGGAGCTTCAACAACCAAGAACAAAGCTCCAACCCAACCACCCACCAACTCAGCCCTCTCACAAACACAACACAACCACTAACCCTCAGAAACAAGGTCTCCCACAACCCCCCAATGATGATGCACACTCACCCAAGGTGATTTGATGAAGAAACCAAGAAGAAAGAAGGCTTCTTGGCTCACAAAGGTGGAGAGAAAGGTGGCAAGGGTGGTTGACTTCAAAGGCTCAGCAAAATGCTACGTAGAGGTGCCAAACATTAGACCTAGGATCAAGTGCCCACCACTTATATAGCCACTTAACAATCAAACACACAGATATAACTTTAAATGCTACGCTTAGCATTTTATTCCAAACTCAGGATTCTTAACCTACTCAATTTTACAAGAATTATCATATTTTTATTTTATTTTTCACAGCACCTTTCTGGTACGTGCTTTTCATAGCCAGTATCAGTTTCTGGCACCGGTTCTCATTATTTTAACTTGAAACTCATTTTACAAGTCCTACATATTATTCTAGGAATATTCATGCACTTATTATAATTTTCCAGGATACTTTTTGGTACGCATTTATACCGACTAGCAGAATCGGTATCTGCACTTTTCGTCAGAAAAGTGACTTTCAATATTATTAACCACTTTCTATAATTATTTAATCCTCATAATAATTATTAGGGTCAATTATGGAATTATTTCCTAATTGCACATAATTAATTAATTAACTTCCTTAATTAATGGTGCGAGTTCTTACAAATGATCTCTCTCCACAATGATTCCCATGCGAAACTAAGGGTAGCAAGGTGTTCCTCTCAATATTTTACACAAGTTTGGCTTTGGAATCGTTTGATTTCATTAAGTATAACTCAAGATATTGTTATTTGAAGTTTTCAGTTGAATAACCATGGAGGAAGAGGGGAGCTCGGTTTTGGAGAGAGAATGAGGGAGGAAGATGAGTGAAAATCTGATTTCACATGTGCTCAAATGCTCACTTAAGTGGGGGTGGGTCCCAAATGTGAATTTACCAATTTACCCTCAATTAAAGTAGTCAATGTAGCTAAGTGGTTCCAAAAACCAACAAAGCCAATTTCACCTTTTTACACTTTCTACATAGAGTATACCTAGGTTTTATCAAAACTGGGCGTGATTCACTTGTCAATAAATTTTCATCTTTTAGTATGTTAAACTAAACTTTTCAACGAGGTATCACAAGCCTCAATTGGAGTTCTATAACTCCATATATGCTCGCAACAAATTGTTTCCTCAAAACTGCCAACAGACAGTAAATAGGGCATCTGGGTTCCCTCACTGTTTCTGAGATTCCAAGAGTTATACTAATCTTTTAGCTCTCACATTTTAATATGTTATAGTAGACACCTTGATCTTTAATTTTATATATCATGAGCCTAATTTAGGTAAGCAATGAGAGAGATATGAATTTTTCAAAATCGCAAACAGAGTGTTAGGGATATTCCCAAGAAACAGAGGAAGAAAAATGGAAAACAAAAGAGTTTCTGTTTATTTCATTCAATGCCTTATTCTGAGATTACATCACCTATTTATATCAAGAACAACTACAAGCTACTCAACAGACTCTTGTAACAACTTCCATTATACATGGAACTGACTAACTAACTAACAACTATTTGAAACTAACTAACAGCTATTAGAACTAACTAACAACTATTAGAATTTACATCCACGTAACACAGAGGCTGCACCCAGTTTTGCGAAACTGGACAGTCCACACTCGTTTGTAAACTTGCATGATTTACAACACATAATGTTACTGTATTTTAGGATAATGTAGGGGACATCCTAAACTTTAAAATGGTAGCTCGACACCTCATTTGACCAAGAAATGAGGTAGATATTGATCTCCAAAGTTAGGGTATAAACCACACCAAATTTTGGAAATTTGGGCAGATGTGTTTGTTTTTACAACTAATCTCATTTATTCAATTGTACCTAATTAATCATGGAATGGCATCCAAAGGCCCAACAAACCTTTGTGCACTTACATCCTCAACATAATCCATAATATGGTTGTTACTTAATCATCAAGTCATTGACCATAATTTATTTGTATTACCATTTACATACTTTCAATACTTATAACTTTACACCTACCATTTCATACACAATTTCCATTTCATGCATCAATTCTATCATAATACACCAAGCTTTTGATGCAACGTTATTTGAGTCGGTTTGATTCGTTTGAATATATATGTTTTTACTAATTTAATTCATAGGTTCGATCAAAAGAATTATCATTCGCCAAGATTAATATACTTATAAATTCATTTATTGTACTCTAATTCTAAATATTTGAAATAGTTGGAATTTAAATATATGATTATTATAGGGAAGAGATAGAATAATTCATGTTCTTTTTAGGTGATTATTATGCGAAAGAATGTTACAATTGATGCTTATTTTAAGATAAATATGTTGAGCTTTTGTCCTCATCTACCCTTAATGTTGAATTGTCAAATATTGAGACTCTTCCTTCAAAGTCTCTGAGAATTGAAAATAAAGAGATAGTTAAAGAAGTTGATCTTACTTTATTGGAAAGAGATCTCGCACTTCGCCTTCCAATATGGAAATATCCTATCAATCAACAAGATAAAATCCATCGTGTTTATCTTAAACTTGGTCCATATCAGTGAAAGCTTCAAAATTATCCTTTTTCTGGACCAGAGAAGAATCAACATCGTTTTTGCTCTTCTTGGTTTGACTTGTTTCCATCTTGGCTAGAGTATTCTCCAACAAAAGATGTTGCATTTTGTTTGCCTTGTTATTTATTTCGTAAGCCAAGTGGCAATGGGCGTTTCAGACTTAGTACATTTGTTGTTGAGGGTTTCAAAAATTGGAAAAAAGTTAATGATGGATAAAATTATGCTTTTTTACGTTATGTTTGAAAAAATGTTATCTCAGTGCATAAAAATGCTATGAGATCATGTAGTGATCTTAAGAACCAATCTCAACATATTGAGACATTGGTTGAAAGGCTTACTTCTAAACAGATTGCAACTAATTGTTTAAGGCTACAAGTTTATGTCGATATGACAAGATGGCTTGCATTTCAAGGATGTGCTTTTAGAGGTTATGATGAAAACTTAGATTCACTTAATTGGGACAATTTTTTAGAGATGATTCAGTTTTTAGCTTCTTATAATCAAGAAGTTGCAGCAATTGTGTTAGAAAAAGTTCCTCAAAATGCTTCATATAGTTCCCTTCGGATTCAAAAGGAAATTCGTCATGTTTTCTCTCAAAAAGTAAAGGCCACAATATGAGAAGAAATTTCCAATGCTAAATTTTGTCTTATTGTTGATGAAGCTAGTGATGTATCTAAAAAAGAGCATATGGCTATTGTTTTGAGAATCGTAGATAAAGATGGTTTTATATGGGAAAGGTGTTTTGGTCTTGTACATGTGGAAGATACAAGTTCTAAGACTTTGAAACAATGAGTATTCAACATTCTACGTCACTATAATCTTGACGTTCAAAATCTCCGAGGACAAAGCTATGATGGAGGTAGTAATATGCGAGGTGAATGGAATGGATTGCAGGCTTTAATTTGTGTCGAGTGTCTATATGCTTGTTATGTCATTGCTTAGCTCATCGGCTTCAACTTGCCTTGGTTGCTGCATCTGATGAAGTAAAACATGTTCATCAATTTTTTGAGAAATTGAAATTCATAATTAATGTTTTTACTTCTTCTTGTAAGCGTAATGATAAGTTAAGGGTTAACCAAATAAATGAAATTGCAAGAATGATTGATATTGATGAACTCGAAACATGAGTTGGTCTTAATCAGATTGGTACTTTGCAGAGCTAGAGCTAGAGCTAGAAACAACGAGCTAGAGCTACTCGTTGGAGTTCTCATTACAATTCTATATGCAGTTTGTTGAAAATGTTTAAAGTTGCACATGAAGTTCTTGACAATATTTCTAATGAAGGAAAAACATCATCATAACATGGAGATGCAGATAATGCATACTTATCATTGACATCTTTTGATTTTGTCATCATATTGCACCTTATGAAGGAAATTATGAGTATTACTTTGTCAGGCATTGCAAAGAGAGTCTCAAGATATTTCAAATGCTTTACACTTGGTTTCAAATACAAAAGAGTAACTTCAGAACTTAAGAGAGATAGATTAGGATGTTTTCTTGGTTCAAGTTCGAGAATTTTGCATAAAACATGACATTGACATTCCAGATATGACTGCAAAATATATTGAAAGGAGAGGTTGTGCTCGAAATGAGCAAGGTGATTTTTCTACAGAAAAATTTTATAAGGTAAATGTCTTTTGTGCTACAATTGGTTATCAATTGTAAGAATTGAATAACAGATTCAATGATAATAGTCTTGAATTACTTGCTTTGAGCATGAGTTTAGATCCAAGAAATGGGTACAAGTCATTTAATAATGATGATATTTGCAAGCTTGTAGATAAATTTATTCAAGTGATTTCACAGAACAGGATTAATACAAATCTTGGAAGCAAAGATGGTGGAAAAGGTATATATAAAATTGCAAAAATAAGGGATAAGAACAGTAAAGACCTCACCCATGTTAGATCCATCAAGGATGAAAATCAAAAACTTTTGGTGCGCGATGAAAATGTAAATGAAAGATGGATGAACTACTTTAACAAGCTATTTAATAGGGATGGCGATAAAAACGAGGTGAACTTGGAGGATGCTTATGATGATTTGAATAGAAGTTTTGTGCGCAAGATTAATACACATGAAGTCAAGGAGGCTTTAAAGAGGATGAAGACTAATAAAGCCTTGGGACCTGATGGTGTGATATGAACCTCACCAAGAATAGTGTGACCCAAGACCAATTTAGTTAGGATCGTTTCTACAACCAGGAATTTAAAACAAGAAATAAAGAACCTTGACCCGTTACCTATGGAAGATAAGAACCAGAGGTATAAGATGGATAAAGACGTCACACTCAAGAAAGAAGAAAGTGGGTGATAAGGCTGGTTTGAACGCCACAAGAACAAACTTCTTGATAAATTCAGAATTCTAGATAAGAACCAAAGAGAAGAAACCTCTCTATTATAATATAACTTCAAAATCTGATTACAAGAGTTATATCCTCCCTTATTTATACTTGAAACATCCCTCCAAGAATAGGAAAATACTTAGCAAATGAAAAGACACTAATTTAAAGTTGACAACTTGTAAAAGGAAAAGACTCTAATCAGCCCACTAAACATTAATGACTTGGAAATGTGAATCAACCCCACTAAGCATTAATAACATTGAAAATGCTTTCAGCCCCACTAAGCATTAATTGACATTGGAAATTGCTACTCATTCCACTCAACCTTTCTTGCATTGATGACATTGACTAAATTCTGATTATGAATAAATTTGGGCTTGATGTCTTCATGATTAGCCCACATTTGCTGGATCAACCCACTAAGAGCTTCTTTAAACTTCTTGGCCCTTAATCTTGTTATTGGCCCATTTGGCAATTGTAATGGATCACTAGGTGTTGTCTCCTTATTCATATCATTCCCTCCCTCTTCAAAAAGATTTGTCCTCAAATCTGTACCTACATCAAAAAGAGATAAATCAGAAACATTATATGTTGCACTAACATTGTACTCACCTGGAAGGTCAAGCTTGTAGGCATTATCATTTATCCTCTCAATCACTTGAAATGGTCCATCACCCCTTGTAGGGTAATGTAAAGCAGCCCCACTTAGCTTTTCACTAAAAAAGGAAATGGGACGTTCTTCTTGCATTAAAACAGCTCCAATACCTATTCCTGAGGCATTACACTCAGTTTCAAAATTATTAGTAAAGTTAGGCAAAGCAAGCAAAGGAGCATTAGTTAATTTCTCCTTAATTAAATTAAATGTCTTTTCTTGTTCATCACCCCACTTAAAACCCACATTTTTCTTAATAACCTCAGTCAATGGTGCTGCTAGGCTACTAAAGTTCTTCACAAACCGTCTATAAAAACTAGCCAGCCCATGAAAACTTCGAACTTCACTCACACAAGTAGGACTAGGCCAATCTTGAATTGCCCTTACCTTTTCTTCATCCACCTCTATCCCTTTAGAACTAACAGCAAAACCAAGGAACACAAGCTTGTTAGTACAAAAATAACATTTTTTTAGATTAGCAAACAACTTCTCTTTCCTCAAAACATTCAAAACAAGTTTTAAATGCTCAACATGCTCATTCAAGTTTTTGCTATAAATCAGAATGTCATCAAAATATACAACCATAAATTTTCCAAGGAATGCACGCAAAACATGATTGATCAACCTCATAAAGGTGCTGGGTGCATTAGTTAAACCAAATGGCATAACCAACCATTCATACAACCCATATTTTGTTTTGAATGCAGTTTTCCACTCATCACATTCCTTCATTCTGATTTGATGATATCCACTCCTAAGATCAATTTTAGTAAAAGCACATGCACCATGCAACTCATCTAGCATATAATCAATTCTAGGAATGAGATGTCTATACTTTACAGTGATATTGTTGATGGCGCGACATTCAACGCACATCTTCCAAGAACCATCTTTCTTAGGCACAAGCAATACTAGAACAGCACATGGACTCATGCTCACACGGACACGCCCCTTTTGCATAAGCTCATTAACTTGCCTTTGGAGCTCCTTTGTCTCTTCAAGGTTGGTTCTATATGCTGGCCTATTTGGAATTATTGCCCCTGGTATGAAATCAATTTGGTGCTATATACCCCTTATTGGTGGTAAACCATCGGGTATTTCTTCAGGGAACACATCCTCAAAATCCTGCAAAACAGAAACAATTGCACTAGGCAAAGAAGAATCAACTTCGTTAGTGTTAAAACAAGCCTCCTTATACAAGAGTACAATCATAGGCTGTTTTAGGACCAATGATTTGTTAATCTCACCAACTTTCACAAAGAAGTTCTCCTTTTTTCTCTCTTTTCTTTTCTCACTATCGGAAACTTGTTTTTCACTATTTTTCTCTCTCTGATCTTCTCTTTCTTTTTTCTGGACACTCTCTTTTTTCAACCTTACTTGATCCTCATACACTTGCATTGGACTTAAAGGAGCAAGAGTAATGATTTTGTTATTCATGACCAATAAGTATATATTAGTGTACCCATCGTGCATCACACGTCGATCAAACTACCATGGACGCCCTAAGAGAATATGCCCAGCTTTGGCAATACATCACATAACACCTCATCCTTATACTTTCTAATTGAAAATGGAACTACCACTTGCTTGTTCACCTTGGTTTCTCCACAATCATTCAACCATTGTAGTTTATATGGTCTAGGATGCTTCAGAGTTGCTAAATTTAGCTTCTCCACCAAACTAGTACTAGCAACATTTGTTTAACTTCCTCCATCAATAATCATGGAACAAACCTTGTCCTTGACATTGCATCTAGTATGAAAAATATTTTCTCGCTGTAACTCCTTATCTTCTTTAACTTGCACATTAAGAGCTCTTCTAGCCACTAAAAGCTCTCCTTCAACTGGTAATTCTATATCACTTGCATCTTCTAAAGAAGGCATGGATTCATTATCAGATTCACCTTCACTTTCAACATCACCATTATCTTTCAAAATCATGACTTTGTTATTTAGACATTGAGAAGCAATATGGCCCCTTCCCAAACACTTAAAACATTTTATGTCTCTATTTCTAGAGGATTGAGATTCAGTTTTACCTTGGCTGGAAGTGTTTACAACTTGGTTGGTTTTAGAGGAACCAGCTGAAGATTTAAAATGAGGCTTCTCTTCATTTTTATTCCATGTTGGTCTTGAATGAGAAGTGGAATTCTGCCCCATACGCATGGTACCCTTCCTTTTGAGTTGTCTCTCCACCTTTATGGCCATATGCACCATGTCATCTAACTCCACATAATGTTGTAATTCTACCACATTTGCAATGTCCCGATTTAAGCCAAGCAAAAATCTGGCCATAGTAGCTTCACGATCTTCATCTACATTGGCTCGAATCATGCTTGTCTCCATCTCCTTGAAATAGTCTTCAACACTTTTAGAACCTTGTGTGAGACTTTGTAATTTCTGAAATAAGTCCCTATGGTAGTGACTTGGAATAAATCGCCTTCTCATGACAGCTTTCATGTCCTCCCATGTTTCAATAGGTCTTTCACCATGTCTCCTTCTGTTTGACACAAATTGATCCCACCAAACAATAGCATAATCAGAAAATTCTATGGCAGCCAATTTTACCTTTTTCAACAAAGAGTAGTTATGACAATCAAACACCAACTCCATCTTTCTTTCCCACTCTAAGTAAGCTTCTGGATCATTTCTGCCTTGGAAAGATGGAATCTTCATCTTGATACTTCCTAGGTTATTATCAACCCTTTCTTCATTACACACTCTTCTTCCTTCATTTCGACGTTTATTCTGCCTCATATCAACTGTAGAATTGGTGTCATCTTCATTTAGATGTTTTGAAGTTCTCGGTTGTCGCTCCCTTTGTTCAACTCTTTCTATTCTATCTTGCATTTCATCAAACCTGAAGTTCAATATTTCAAATCTCTGTGTCATGGCTTCAAAGTAGAATTTGAAATCTTTAGGAATTTGAGCATCACCCTCTTGAGACATTCTTTTTTAATCTGAAAAAAAAAAACAAAAGTTAAAATATCCTCACAACACACCCTCACGTGTTTCTCTCCCAATTAAGAGCTCTCACACTCATGTTTCAAAATTAGGCTTTTATCCTCTTATAAGCTCACACACTCCTGCCTTTTTCCCTCTTTTGAATTCCCTCTTTTAGTTCTTAGCTGAACTCAATTGAAGTTTTCTTGAAGAAATCCAAACAGATCACAAGATGTAATACAAAGAGACAAGAAGAACAAGAGAATATTTTTTTGATGTCAAGAATTAGGGGTAAAGAAATGTTGGATTGGCAATAAATCTTAAGCAATAATTGAAATTAATTAAGATGGGAAGTACACACTGGAATAGAAAAGAACAAAACTGAAAAGAATTCAAAGAGACAAGTTTTACTTCAAGGAATTTGGATCAGATTTTTTTTCTTCCTATTTTTTTTTTTTGCTTTTGAAGATACTAGATTTTTTTTTCTTTTTTTTTTTGCTTCTGCAGATACTGAGACTTTGTTTTTTTTTTTTTGGCTTCCGAAGATACTAAGATTTTTTTTCTTTTGAACAGTACCAATGAGAATAGTTGACACAAGAAGGAGAATGAAATAGAAATAAAAAAAATTAACAATAAAATAAAAAGGATAGATCAAACCTGATTTAGAAGACTAGCTTTGATACCAAATTATATGAATCTCACCAAGAATAGTGAGACCCAAGACCAATTTAGTTAGGATTGTTTCTACAATCAGGAATTTAAAACAAGAAATAAAGAACCTTGACCTGTTATCTATGGAAGATAAGAACCAAAGGTATAAGAAGGATAAAGACGCCACACTCAAGAAAGAAGAAAGTCAGTGAAAAGTCTGGTTTGAACGCCACTAGAACAAACTTCTTGATAAGTTCAGAGTTCTAGACAAGAACCAAAGAGAAGAAACCTCTCTATTATATTATAACTTCAAAATCTGATTACAAGAGTTATATCCTCCCTTATTTATACTTGGAACATCCCTCCAAGAATAGGAAAACACTTAGCAAATGAAAAGACACTAACTTAAAGTTGACAACTTGGAAAAGGAAAAGACTCTAATCAGCCCACTAAACATTAATGACATTGGAAATGTGAATCAACCCCACTAAGCATTAATAACATTGAAAATGCTTTCAGCCCCACTAAGCATTAATTGACATTGGAAATTGCTACTCATTCCACTCAACTTCCCTTGCATTGATGACATTGACTAAGTTTTGATTGTGAATAAATTTGGGCTTGATGTCTTCATGATTAGCCCAAATTTGCTGGATCAACCCACTAAGAGCTTCTTTAAACTTCTTGGCCCTTGATCTTGTGATTGGCCCATTTGGCAATTGTAATGTATCACTAGGTGTTGTCTCCTTATTCATATCATGGTGTCCCTATTGAAGTGTGGAAAGGCCTGGGGGATGTGGCAATAAAATGGTTGACCAACCTTTTCAATAAGATTCTTCAGACAAATAAGATGCCTGATGCAAGGAGGAAAAGTATGATTGTGCCTATTTAATAAAATAAGGGAGATATACATAATTGTTGTAACTATAGAGGTATTAAGCTAATGAGCCATACTATGAAGTTGTGGGAGAGAGTTATTGAACATTGGTTGAGAAGAGACACCAAGGTTTATGTAAATCAATTTGAATTTATGCTAGGAAGATGTACCATGGAAGCCATTTTTTGATGCGACAATTGATGGAAAGATATCGAGAAAAGAAGAAGGACTTACATATGGTGTTCATAGATCTTGAGAAAGCATATGATAGGGTTCCAAGGAATGTTTCATGGTGGGTTCTTGAGAAGAAAAAAGTACCATCAAAGTATGTAAAGGCAATCAAGGATATGTAGGATGGGGTTACTACTTGTGTGAAAGCTTGTAATGGAACATCAAGTTATTTTTCTATCACGGTAGGTGTACACCAAGGTTCGGCTCTAAGTGCTTATCTCTTTGCCTTAGTTATGGATGAACTAACAAAAAATATTCAAGAGGAAGTGCCATGGTGTATGCTTTTTGCAGATGATATTGTGCTTATTGATGAGAACAAAGACGGTGTTAATAGAAAACTTGAATTGTGGAGAAGCACGTTGGAATCTAAACGACTTACGTTGAGTCAGAGCAAGACTGAGTATTTGAAGTGTGAGTTTTCTCTGGCAAGAGATGAAGACCAAGATCCAATGCACCTACTTGGTTAAGAGGTACCCAAGAAAGATGCTTTTAGATACCCGGGATCCATTTTGCAAAAAGGTGGAGAGATTGATGAGGATGTAAATCATAGAATCAGAGTAGGGTGGATGAAATGGCGTAGTGCATCTAGGTTTTTGTGTGACCGCAAAATCCCCCTTAAGTTAAAAGGAAAATTCTATAGAACAACAGTAAGACCTGCAATGCTATATGGAGCTGAATGTTGGCCAACATATAGGCAACATGAGCATAAAATGGGAGTAGCAGAGCTGAGTTGAGGATGTTAAGGTGGACGTGTGGTTATACGAGGATAGATAAGATGAGAAATGAAGATATTCGACGAAAGGTAGGAGTACTATCGGTGGCTGAAAAAGATGAGAGAACATAGATTGAGGTGGTTTGGGCACGTAATGAGAAGGCCCCTAGATATCCCGTAAGAACAACAGTTTGTTACCAAGATCTCAATACAAAAAAAAGTAAAGGTAGACCGAAATTTACTTGAGGGAAGGTAGTAAAGCAAGACTTAATGGATTGGGATATAGATTGGCGGACGGTGTGTCTTAGAACGAAATGGAGAAAATCTATATGCATGGTGGAGGGTTAGACCCGTTGTTATTCCTATGTTCCAAATGGTCTCTTTTTAGTCCTTTTTCCTCTTTAGCTCCCCCTTTTTCTTCTTTTCCTCTTCTTTTATCACTTTTATACTTATATATTTATGAGACAGGATCCTTTGACACCAGTGTCAAAAAAAAGTTTGACACCTCATCTGAGAGACGTTAGATTAAAAAAAATCAACGATTCTGATTTGTAAGCATGTGACACCATTGATTTTTTTTAATCTAACGGCTCTCAGATGAGGTGTCAAACTTTTTCTTTGACACCAGTGTCAAAGGATCCTGCCTCTATATTTATATATATATGTATATATATTATGGCTTTAATGTTTCTAAAGTGAATGTAGATAAGTTATCTACATTCGCTCCCAAAACAACGTCGTTTTGGGTTAAAAAATAAAAAATTATGATGAAAAAGACTGTTATAACCCTGAAATAAATTATAATTACAAAAATACCTTGATTTTCGCCTCAAAACTACGTCGTTTTGGACTCAATGTAGATAAGTTATCTACATTGACTGTAGAAAAAGCGAACCCATATATTATTACTATTTTATTTATTTTTATTTATCTTTTTTCAACCCTTTCGTATATTTTATTTGGGTTTATCTACCACCGACCCCAATTAATTTGGGATAAAGGTGTTGTTGATGTTGATGTTAATTTAACAGAATAGGAAAAATTGCACTTGAAGTTGGAGTTACAGCTTTTTGAGCTCGATATTCCTAAACATCAAGATTTGCATAATTTATCAACTACATCTGAATTATGTCAAGAACTTGCAAGAATTGAAAAATCAATCATTTATCCTCTTATTTATAAAGTGATTAGACTTGTACTCACCCCCACAGTTTCTACTGCAACTACTTAAAGAGCTTTCTCGGCCAAAAAGATAATTAGGAGGAGACTTCAAAATCGAATGGAACACCAATTTCTTGATGATTCTTTGGTTATATATATTGAAAAAGAAATTGTTTTTAATTTTAGCACATATTCAATTATAAAAGAGTTTAACAATATGAAAAAACGCAGTGCAAGAGTTAAGTGAATTAACCTTGAATTTTGTAATAAAACTCTTTTCAATCTTTTTATATTAGTTCATATATAATTGTATGTATTTTTTTTTATAATATATATATATATATATTTTATTTTTGCCCCCCACTATGAATTTTTTTGGGTTCGCCACTGAATACAATTTTACTGGCCAAAGAATACATATAAATAATTATCACACAACATGTTCAAATGCATGAGCATACTCTATCAAGCATTATCATAGTTCATAAATTCCAACCACTACCGCAATGAGTATGGTGGAGCACACAAGAGAGTTAATCTCAGGACAAGAAGTTTACCACTTTGAAGTTTCCACTATAGATAGCTTCAACCACAAGTTACTTCCTCCACAAGTAAACTCCACAAGTTACAAGGATTATCATATCAATAATTGATTTCAATGGTTACCAAACCATATAACACACATTCAAATTCAAGTTATAAAACTTACCAAATCCTTGAAATTCAAGGACCAAGGCTTCAAATGTGAAGCTCCAAAGCTTAATCCTCCAAGATAGTATCCAAAGATCTCAACCTACATGATCACACATATTTAAGATCAACACCATGTTTGACAACACAAGCTAAACAACATGAAATCATCTTCCAATTTCTCACCCTATGCCTCGGCCATAAAAAAGAAATTTCTCATTTTGTATCCGGGAACACAAAAAATAATTTTTTTTTATTCTTTTTCTGTTTCTGAGCACAAAAATAATCTGGTTTTGTCAAACACTATTTCTATCCATTTTTGTTTCTAAGAACAAAAATTGAAAAAAAACTGATTATGGAAATGTTGTCATAGACACCCTTTATGTTTCATGTCGTTTCTACAATTCATGTTTCTAGTATCTATTTTCGTAGAAATTCAAATTGATGGGTCAATTGGAGCATATTTTTAATACTACATAAATATGTACTTCTTTATTAAAAAAAAAAGGAAAAATTTCATAAATCCCCTATAAGTTTTTTTAAGTATCACTTATCCCTCACAATTTTTTTGAATCATTTATCTTTTTTTTAGATTTTTTTTATCACTTACTCCATTGAATTAAAGTTTCTTTATCACACTTATCTTCATCACTTAGGAGATAAGTGATAACAAAACTTTAAGTCAGGAGGGTAACTGATAAAATTTTTTAGGGAGGGGATAAATGATTACGAAAAAAATGACAAGAGTTTTTTTTTTTTTTTTTTTGAAGTTTTCCAAAAAAAAAAAAATGGAGACAAGAATAATCATAGAAGGTAAGTAAAATTAGTCTATATTTAATAAAGAATGCACTAGTCTTTAATATTCGTATTAGTGAAAAATTAGCATGTACTCCCTTCTATTAAAACGTAAGTATTAGGCCAATCTTTTAACCAAATTCCCGAAACGTCCCTCTTCGGCACCCAAACAAATACTCTCACTGTTAACATCATCGGTTTCACTTCTTCACATGCCTCCTCACTCTCTCTCACTCTGAATTCGCTATCTTGTGCATTCGTGTAAGCTTGCTTTATCGCTGCTTCACCTTTTCTTCCTTCGATTCTTCAATTGGAACCTTCAACCATGACTCTCATGACTCCTCCGCCATTAAATGTAATCGCCAATTCTCTCTCTCTCTCTCTCTCTCTCTCTCTCTCTCTCTCTCTCTCTCTTCCTTTTCGTTCTGCTTCAATCCAATTCAATTCAACTTAATTGGAACCGCCAATACGATTTTTGGTTTTATTTCCCCGTTTTTGCAGTTGTTTTTTGCCTTTTTTTTTATTGGACGGTGACTAGGGTTTTTGATTTTCGGATCCATGTTTTCTGATGTTTGCTTTTTGTTTGTGCAGCAGCATCAGGAGGACGATGAGATGCTGGTTCCCAACTCCGACTTCCCTGAAGGCCCTAAACCCATGGAAGGTAATTGCTTTCAGTTTTTTTATTTTTATTTTGTTTTGTGTTTCTATACTGCCTGTTGTTCGAGAGCTCAGTGGATGGGTGTGTGGAATGGCATCGTAACACTAGTGTGTGTGTGTGTATATATATATATATATATATATATATATATATTATGCGGATGTAGTTTTTGTTTTGTTTTGTTTTTGTTTTCCGTTACATTGGTTTTAGCAGGTGTTGGGTAGGTTAGCGGGATAGGTGGAGGATTGAACCCTAATTTTAGAGACTAGGGTTAGTGCCGCTTGAGGTACAAGCTTGTTGTGTGAGGGAAAGTGTTTATGTTGACAAAGGTTAGTATGGGTATATAGGGCTGGGTTGAATGAATGCAATAGAAATTCAAGCCAGTGAATGGTGACATTCTTGTCGTTTTTGTTTTTTGCTTTTTATTTTTTGGTGGTCTTAATGCTGCATGTTGTCAAGAAGCATCAAAGTTGCTATGCTATTGGCGCTTAATGCTGCATGTACGTTCTTTTTTTTTGGTAAATTTTGATTGGGGAAGATGGGTAATTTGAATTTTGAGATTCTTTATTGCCGTGTCGAGTTGTTGTGGATTTTCCCGGGTTGGGGTGCAGGGTTGTTTTGAGTTTTTTTTTTTTGTTTTTTTTTGAAATTTATCATATTTAACTATGTTTCCATTTTTGATAACTGGCACAACTGAGTAATGGTTATACTTATTTTTATTGTTTTATTTCCTTTTCCTTTTTGTTGGTAGCCGAAGCAGAGAACATGAGTACAGTGGATGCTATGGCAGTGGATGATCCACCAACTGCAAGGTTCACATGGACCATAGACAATTTTTCAAGTCTTACAAAAAAAATCTATTCCGACACTTTCAGTGTTGGTGGCTACAAATGGTATGACCATTTTTGCTGCTGTACTTTAGTGTCTAGTTATTACTTGTATATATGGGTGCTAAAATATGTTTTGACTCTTGGTGCTGACTGAAATTAATTGAAATGAGCAGGCGGATACTTCTTTTTCCAAAGGGGAACAATGCCGACCATATGTCGATGTATGTAGATGTTGCAGATTCGGCAACCTTGCCTTATGGTTGGAGTAGATATGCCCAGTTCAGCTTGACTGTTGTTAATCAAATTCATTGTAAATATTCAATCAGAAAAGGTAATCTCTCTGCAACTGGTGTTCATTGGAAGATATTCTCTATATCACGTGGAATAAGTTACAGAGGAATAAATTTCTCTCTCTTTTGTTTGTGTAAATTCCATTATTCTCCTCTCTCTCTCTCTCTCTCGCATTCAAATGAACTCCCAACTAACAAGATGATCACTTTTCTAATCTTCAACCCCTAACCAAAGGAGGTCCCTCATGGTTAGGGGTTGAAGATTTGAAAAGAGATCATCTTGTTAGTTGGGAGTTGTGTGTAGACCTAACAATGAAAGGGGATTAGGTCTTGGCTATTTGACGTCTAAAAATATTGCTTTGGTGGATGCTTCATTTTGGCACCAGCTTATTTGGGGTTAAGTATTTTAGATTGGAATAGATGGGATGTCAATCCGGAGATGTTTTCTATTCATTGTGGCTTGTTCTGTTATAAATCACTCTTTTGGTCTCTCAAGTTCTCAAGTCCTTAATGGACAAAGGTTGCTTCTTGGCAAATTCCTTCCTGTAAGATTAAATCCTTTGTTTGGACATCAGTTCTGCTGCAGATTTTAGACCTCATGTCAAGGTTGTCAAGATCGAGATATTACTTAAGATTGAGAGGGGATAAAAAATCGTAAATCATAAGATCGACACGGATTGTAAGATCTTACCTTTTTAATTTTAATTATAAAAAATAATATATATATATTTATATATATATACACATATATAAAGTAAGTTTTAAGCAAAATTGGCCTAAAAAACAATGAGATTATTTCAATTTCAATGTAATCATATTAAAAATAAGAAAATATAGGAGCAATATGTAAATATATTATTTAATACAGTGGCACCATTTATTTTGTTTCTCTGCAAACATAGAAATATGTGTATTTTGTAAATATATTATTTAAAAAAATTAAGCAAACAAGACCATGAGGTCCATGACAGTTGACAGAAACGTGCAGAATAATAATCTAATATTCAAGCAAACTAAAAGATAGAAAGTGCACAGTGCAGACAACATTTTGAAGACTAAGAAATGTGTAAAGAACCTTGGGATACACCACCCCAAAAGCTAGCTTGAAGGGTGGGAGTGCCCAGGACCTTATAAACTCCACATTAGTTGCACATACAACCAATGTGGGACTATATATCTCAACATGCCCCCTCACACGAGAGCCCATTGGGCTTGAAGAGTGGACAATGCATCAGGCCCAATATACCTGTGCTAAGAAACGCCACAAGAGAAAGTGGGGGGCGGCGAGACTCTGATACCATGTAAAGAATCTTGGGATACACCACCCCAAAAGCTAGCTCAAAGGGTGGGAGTGCCCAAGGCCTTATAAAGGCTACATTAGTTGCACATACAACCAATGTGGGACTATATATTTCAACAAAATGCAATCATAGAAGCTAAATGCATAAGAGGACAAGGTGAGTCCCAAACCCAAACCTGTTGCAGTCAGAGAAGGAGATCAAGAGGTGAAGCCTTAAAGGCCGATTTGTGAGAGAGATTGTGGAGAAGGCAGTCGTGGGTTAGATTGATGTGAAAAATGGAGTTAGGGTTCATGAATTAGGATGCTTTGTGATTTAGGTCGTTGGTAATTTTTAGGATCTTGGGTTTCATTTCTGGATCTGGGCTTTTTTCATAATCGTTAGAACGGTGGGATCGAATCCTAAATCCTAAACCCTAAATGATCTCACCGATTTTTTTTTTTTTTATTGTTGATCTTGTACGATCTGAAAGCATTGCGATCTCATTTACGATCTGGCGCGTTGCGCGATCTTGATAACATTGCTCATATCACCCTTTCCCCTAAAATGTGTGTTATCTGCAAGCGAAGTTCAGAAATGACACAAAAATACAACTTTTTTTTGTGCTTTGCTAGGAGGCACCTTTTTCTTTGGAGTAACCTTTTTGTCATTTTCAAAGATAGGTAAATGTGACCATCTAAGTATAGTTATCAAATGCAAGTAGCGGCCTATAGTGGCCTACCAAAATGCTATAGCGGGTAGTGGTATAGCGCAACTGGGAAGTCTTATGCATGAACCTATTATGTACATATACTGCACTTATAAATGCTCAAAAATGAAGACATTCATTCATAAATATATTTTAACTATCAACATCAACATCAACAACACCTTTATTCCAAATTAATTGGGGTCGGTGGTAGATGAACCCACATGAAAGATACAAAACGGTTGAAAAAAAATAAAAATAAAAAATAAAAAATCCTGTCAATTAAAGTTAAAGGAACATAAAGGTAGCAAGAAAACTTTATTGAAGTCTTCTAAATACGGTCATTGTAAGGATCTAAATACTGTCAATTACAACATTCCATATTCAAATTCAAATTCTGAAAAGAAACTAATCAGAATCTTCACTTCCACCATCTCCAAAATCCTCTTCACCATTGCTTTCACTAGTAGAAACATTGTAGAGCTGTTCTAGGGTTATGTTTTGAGCTACTCTTTGGTGTTTTGTCTTTTGCTGTTTCAAGGGTGTAGCCATCCCCCTAGGGATTGGAAAGCCTGCTGTATTCCTAGTTTCCTCTTTAACTTTTGTTTTGTTCTAGTTTTTCCTTTCAGCACTTGAGGATATCTGATTGTCTCACTTATTGTCATCATGTAATATAATATCATTATCTTAAATGAATTTTACTAATTAAAATAACATTTATATTCTGAGACTTCGTTCTTCTTAGAACTACTCATTCAATAATCAATCCATCAAATTGGTGGCTTACAATTTCATTTTGAAAGCTTTTGGAAAGTGTCTTTTGTTTCGGGAATACTTCGTATGCCTCCTATTTAGGGACTATATATGTACTTCTAATATGATTAGAATTTGATTTGTATTTTCATTAATTTCTTAGTTTCCTTATTTTCTAATTTTGCTAATATTATAGATTGTAAATTCCTAGTTTCCTATTATTAGAGATTGTAAATCATGCATAAATAAAAGGTGCTATTGAGCATTTCCAAAAACTACTCGCAAATCCCTTTTGTACAAAAAGCAAACTGATGGACCAAGGGATTGTAAACAGGCAATCGGAATCATTTTTCTTTTATTTGTTACCGTAACATGAAGGTAAATTAATCTTTATTACACATTATAATTTATTTGCTTCACAGTTTGGTAGCTTTAGGGATGGTTTAACCATTCAATTATTGATACATGAAGTCAATGTTGAGTGGAATCAAATTTATTTTGTTCTTGGTGTATCTAGTATAATGCCGAAGCAGTAACCTATTGGCTAAACAGAAATAAGAACGAACATAAGGATTGCGAGAAAACACTTTTCTCTTTTCTCAATTTAGCCTCCTAACAATAGGGTTCTCCAAGTCTTAAATAGGAAAAATAGAAATAACAAAAAGTAAATAACTATAATCATGCGCAATCAAAGGAGATAAAGCACAATCAACGCACACTCTAACGTAATCTAAAATAACAAAAAGGGAAATAATTAACAATTATTGAAAAACCCTAAACTATTGAATAAATTATAGAAAAGCCCAATCCAAGTCAGCTCGGGTGCATCATTCTCTCCCACTTGGAAAAGATTCGCCCTCGAATTTGCTTCGTCTTCATTGATATGAACTTCTTCAGATGGTAACCCAGGTGACAACTCTTCTGGTACAATATCACCAAATTTCCTAATTAAGATTAGGACTTGTGAATGCAATTCTTTGATATGCTTGGTATATTCATTTTCTGTTGTGATCAATGATCGCATCTGTGATCCGTCATAGGAAAATTTCGTCTGATGTAACAACAATTCCCATTGCCCCTGACCTTGACGATCTCCAATTAAAATTTTACCAAAAGTTAAATCTTTATCTCGATGGAGCATGAGGTTGTTATGCCCGCTGTCCCCAAATTCATAATACTGCTTGCAAACTAAAGACTTCTCGAATGAAGGATCATTCCACATGATATCTTTGGGTAGAACTTCATCTTTGTCAGAGATATTAGAATTTCTAATAGCTGACTTTCCACCGAAATCACTATAAGAGATATCTTCCACCTCTGGATTCTCATCGTCTTGCTCCCAATCATACTTATCATAGATAGGGAACTCGTCATAAATTGGAGTATCCATAACAGGATTCTCATCATCTTGCTCTTCATCACATTCATCATAGATCTGGACCTTCTGGTCTTCTGTCAAGTCTCTGATGTCAAAGACCCTTTCGACGGTGTTGACCCGTCGATAAACTCATCTGGATGAGTGGTGCCCTCGAATTCTGGGATCTCAATCTTCACCCCAATATTAGCAAAAAAGGATTGACTTCGAGGTTGACTTTGTCCTCGTCGCTCCTGGTACCAGTTCCAGAATGGGTTTTCGCTCCTTTCCTCCTCATGAGATGATCTTTCAGATTCCCTTCCTTTATCTGACTCGTCCAACTGTGATTGGGCAAATAGTTGTTCGAGCTCCTGAATTCGCCTACTGTTCTGCCATTGTAGCAGCCATTGCTACAATTATGGTGTGTCGCATGTCAATGTGTGGTTGTTTGCCGTCGCCGTTAAGGGTGTTACAATGCCCTCTACCGCCGCCGTCGCCTCGACCCTGTCGTCCACGACCGCCATTGTTCTGTTCAGCCATTTATGTGACAACCAGAGCTCTGATACCAAATAATGTCGAAGCAGTAACCTATTGGCTAAACAGAAATAAGAACGAACACAAGGATTGCGAGAAAACACTTTTCTCTTTTCTTAATTTTATTTAACCAAAAACAACCTCCTAACAATAGGGTTCTCCAAGTCTTGAATAGGCAAAATAAAAATAACAAAAAGTAAATAACTATAATCATGTGCAATCAAAGGAGATAACGCACAATCAACGCACACTCAAACGTAATCTAAAATAACAAAAAGGGAAATAATTAACAAATATTGAAAAGCCCTAAACTATTGAATAAATTATAGAAAAGCTCAATCCAAGTCAGCTCGGGTGCATCATAGTATTAACATCAATATGTATCCATCGGCATCAATAAAGGAAAACCATAGTTTTCAATCTTGGATAGCGGAGCAGAGTGGTCGATTCCAAAAACATTATAGTGGGATAGTGGATCACATGGTGTCTGCTATACCAGAAGTAGCAATACCAGATAAATAATTTACACTACACATATTTTAATGCTCCAAACTAAAAAGATTACCCAAAATTGAAGACATTCATAATTAATAATAAAAAAATCATAGCCTAAACACACATTCATCATCAATCTAAGGCACAATTAACAAGTTAATAATATGAAAAGTCAGGCCGAATAAGAAAAAAAAGGAAGATGATGAAATTGATTGTAAAAAGCTAAACTCATTAGATCAAAATTAGAGGTTTGTGAAATGTGAAGTCTATAACACAAAAAACAAGAACAAATACCTGCGGCAGAGGGTGTGAATCAGAAGTCAGAACAATGTAGAACAGATCATAGGATCCTGCGATTTTTTTCACCATGGATGCGCTAACTAGGTTGCAGAATTGTGAATGAATAAGATCTCATAGGATTGTCGAGCAAAATAGTAAAAACAGTGGGATTGTGTGATCTTTTTGTTCCAGACGATTTTTGAAAATGTCCATCCGTCTGATAAAAGAGTGAATGTGAGCCAGAGAAAAGGAGGAGCTGAATGGAACCTGCTGTCAGAGGGGGAGCTCTGGCCTAATCGGAATGGCGCTGGTCATTGTCAAGAGTGGTGCCATTCTCACTTGTGATGCATCATGAGTTGACAGGGATGAAACAGTCATTGTCATTGACCAAATCGGCAGTGAAGAGGACAATCACTCATGATTGTTGCAAGATGTCGTATTCCTTTGGCTGCAAGTGAAGTTTGACCATTAAAGAAGAGAGAGAAAAAGAGAGAGAATAGTTTTTTTTTACTTCCAAATAACTCAGCATATTAATTTTTCTCGATTACTTCGAGTATCCTCTGCACATGTTTCTACTTCACTAATTTCTTTTTCTTTTTTCCGATTATTTAAATTTGTAGTTTTTGTTTTCAACTATTTTCATTTTTTCTATTATTTATATTTTCTGTTTAAAACTTGGTAAATTATCATTTATAATTTGAAGTTCGTAGTTAAATTTTAATAATGATTTAAATGTTAGTTTTTTGTTTATGTTAATTTCTATAGGTATATATATATATATATATATATGTATATTGTAAGTATAATTTTATATTTTAAGTAATATCTCTACTTTCTTTTGTACTCTTGTTTCTGTGTTTTGGACCTCCTCTTTCGGTTCTTTTCTTCTCTTTTCTTTTATTGAGAAAAGTAATTTGATTGCTTTTTCTTATGTAGAAACACAGCACCACTTCAATGCTCGTGAGAGTGATTGGGGTTTCACTAATTTCATGCCGCTTGCTGAATTGTATGATCCTAGTAGAGGTTATCTTGTGAACGGTACATGCATAGTTGAGGCTGATGTTGCTGTACGAAAAGTTCTTGATTACTGGTCACTTGACTCAAAAAAGGAAACTGGTTATGTCGGACTAAAAAACCAAGGAGCTACTTGTTACATGAATTCTCTTCTTCAGACATTGTACCACATTCCTTATTTCAGAAAGGTTAGCGAGTATCATATAACTTTTAAGCTCTTAGTTTTTCAAGAAGGAAGTGCCTCATGTATAATATTGTTTGTTCAGGCTGTGTACCATATGCCTACGACTGAAAATGATATGCCATCAGGGAGCATCCCTCTGGCATTACAGAGTTTGTTTTACAAGTTGCAGTATAGTGACACTAGTGTAGCAACGAAAGAGTTAACCAAGTCTTTTGGATGGGATACATATGATTCATTCATGCAGCATGATGTCCAAGAACTGAATAGAGTTCTTTGTGAAAAGCTAGAAGACAAAATGAAGGTATCAAATTTTTCATGGTAGCTTCTTATAGTTATTTTGTCTAAATAAAGTAGCTTCTAAACTAGATACTTGTGTATTTATGTGTTGAGATATATAGTCCCACATTGGTTGTATGTGCAACTAATGTGGAGTTTATAAGGCCTTGGACACTCCTACCCTTTGAGCTAGCTTTTGGGGTGGTGTATCCCAAGGTTCTTTACATGGTATCAGAGCCTCGCCGTCCTCCACTTTCTCTTGTGGCATTTCTTAGCACAGGTAGGCTGGGCCTGTTGCATTGTCCACTCTTCAAGCCCAATGGGCTCTCGTGTGAGGGGGCATGTTGAGATATATAGTCCCACATTGGTTGTATGTGCAACTAATGTAGAGTTTATAAGGCCTTGGACACTCCCACCCTTTGAGCTAGCTTTTGGGGTGGTGTATCCCAAGGTTCTTTACAATATGTATGTCTTGGAGATAATTTATTTGTATGTCATATGTCTTGGATTCTTGATGTTTCGCCAGGGAACTGTTGTGGAAGGCACTATACAGAAGTTGTTTGAAGGCCACGATATGAACTATATTGAATGCATCAACGTGGATTATAAATCTAGAAGAAAAGAATCATTTTATGGTATGCATTTTAGCCTTTAGGATGATGCCTTTGTTTACTATATCTTTGCATGTATACTTGGACCTTATGGAATTTCGGATGTTTGATTATAGATCTTCAGCTCGATGTCAAAGGCTGTAGGGATGTGTATGCTTCTTTCGATAAGTATGTGGAAGTGGAACGGCTTGAGGGTGATAACAAGTATCATGCAGAGCAGTATGGTTTACAGGTGAAACCTGGAACCATGTGTTTTGGTTTGGTTGTCAGGCCAAACTTCATTACTTGCATTATTTTATCTGTAGATACCCATTTATATTAATCTTCCTATATTTGTTTTTGTTTTTACTTGAATAATTACTAAATACTGTTTGATTTGTTTTTTACATTTTCCTTTTGTTATGGCTATTTTTTTTTTTTTTTCCTATTTTAGAATGATTATTTTCCTACATCATGATTGCGATTACTGATTACACTTTCAGGATGCTAAAAAGGGTGTATTGTTCATTGATTTTCCGCCTGTTCTTCAGCTTCAGTTAAAACGGTTTGAGTATGATTTTATGCGAGACACTATGGTAAAGGTTAGTATTATATAAAAAATAAATAAAAATTCCTTTGGTTTTTGTTATTCTTTTATTTGTTTTCCGCATGATTCACATTTCGTTGAGATAGGAAAGGGAGGTTTTGTTTACAAATTCTGTTTGGTCCTCCTGCTTTGCTAGATGAAGTTATTCTTTTTCTTCTCCTTCTGGTAAATGATGCAGTTAATATCATTTTGCATATTATTCAACATACATGGACTGCATTTAGTGTCCATTCTTTAAAATTCCAGGAGTAAATGCATAGTTATCAAACGTGGGCAGCGGCTTGTAATGGCTGACCCTCGAAAATGCTTTAGGGCTATAGCAGGTAGCAGTATAGCACAACAACAAAGTCTTATGCATGAACCTACTATATATATAGACTACACATATTAATACTAAAAAATAAAGTCATTAATTCATAAATATATTTTCACTATCTGATGGAACCTAATATTATTCATAAGAAATTGCAGAAATATAAATGGAGACAAGCTCCTTACAAGGATAAATTGCAGAAAATATAAAGGAAATACAGAAAATAAACACAAGACCTCACTCACTCAAAAGCCAAATACCTAGGCCAAAGAGATCCCAAGAGATCCTTTCCCAAAACCCCTCTCCAAATATTCTGAATACATGAATAATAGAAACATCACCCTAAACTTCTATATATACTACTTCTAAGATACTAATGGGCTTGGATCAGTTATTATAGGCCTATCAATACTCCCCTTTTAAAATCCACCTTGTCCTCAAGGTGAGGAAGAGAATAGGGGATGTAATTGAACATCCACCAGGATCCCATTGCTTGAAGCATATTGACCCAATTAGCAACTGCAACATTATCTGTTCTTGAATCATATTATCCAAAATCCACCCAGCTACAGCAAACATATATTCGAGACTTGCATCCTCCTCTGTCTCTTGGGAGAATAAACGAACACCAGCTGGGTACAAAATGCTCATTGTATGTAGCTGTACAAACAAATCTGATTTGGCCCTAATCTGAAGTATAATAGGTTGGGAAATACTAGTTTCGGGTCGTGGGTTATTTTGACCAATTGGGCTACTAACAAATCTGGCCACATAAGACAATTCTCCTTTAATTGGGCCTGTAATTCCAATCAGCCCAATTGACCACCATTTCATTCCATTTCCTCCTAACCCATTCATGTTGCGGTGGCCCATTTTGCTTGGCCCATTGCATTCTGAATTATAACCTAGAGTGGGTTGTGTCTGAAAGTGGGTGCTGGCCCCATTTGACCAAGCCACTAGCACGTGACCATCAACTTCAGTCCCATATTCATACTTGGCCCATATCTTCACCTTCTCTCTTTCTTCAACCTCTGTTCTTCTTTCTTCATCTCCATTTATATCTTTTTTTTTCTTCTTTTTCTGTTTCCTTGGCTTTCGATTTCTCTATTTCTGTTTTTGTTGTTTCTTCTATAATGTCATCTTCTTCAGAGCTCCGATCTGTCTCTCCTTCGATCTCTTCTCCTTCTTCTATATCTGGTCCAATTTCAGTAAACCCACTTCGGCCCACCGTGTTCATCGTCTTCCCCACGACAATCTGCTCTTCATCAGTTCTCTGCGTACGCGACATCTTCTCTTCCCTGCTTTCCACGCGATTTGCCCGGATCTCAACTCGTTCTTCTTTATTATTCTTCCCTTCTCGTTGTTTTGGATATGCTAAATGTGTAGTTTTCCTACTTGTTCCAGATCCGTTCGCGCGTCTTCTCTCTGTTCCAGATCAGACTTGTTCTTCTTCCTCTTGATCTCCTTCATCTTCTTCCTTTCTTTTTGCCACCTTCGTTGCTTTTTCTTTTTCTGTTGCGCTTTCCCTTTTTTGGACTTCTGTTTCTCTGATTCTTGCTTTTTGTTCTTCTGCAAAACACGGATCCATGCGCTCTATTAATGTCCACATTGTTTTCTTAAGTTGATGAATAGCATCTTCAACTCGATCCATGCCTTCTTCCACTCGATCCATGCTTGCTTCTAATCGATCCAAGCTCCTCTCCATTCTGTTGTTTTCCATTTTTTATTTTTTTTTGTAGATCTGGACCAGAAACACTCCCTAGATCGGAAATGCTCTGATACCAAATTGATGGAACCTAATATTATTCATAAGAAATTGCAGAAATATAAATGGAGACAAGCTCCTTACAAGGATAAATTGCAGAAAATATAAAGGAAATACAGAAAATAAACACAAGACCTCACTCACTCAAAAGCCAAATACCTAGGCCAAAGAGATCCCAAGAGATCCTTTCCCAAAACCCCTCTCCAAATATTCTGAATACATGAATAATAGAAACATCACCCTAAACTTCTATATATACTACTTCTAAGATACTAATGGGCTTGGATCAGTTATTATAGGCCCATCACTATCATTCAAGGAATATAAAGGAAACAACAAACTTCATTGAAGTCTTATAAATACTGTAATTGAAAGGTTCTAAATATTTGTCAATCACAATATTCCATATTTAAATTCAATTTCTCAAAAGGAACTAATCTGATTACCACAAGATTTTGGGGTTGTCTCTTACTTTGATCCAGATTCTTTGGCTCTCACAAGATTTCTATTCTTATTTTGGGGGTTGTCTCTCATATTGGTATCAGAATGTTTGTTTGAAACAAGATTTCTTCTCTTATTTTGGATATTGTCTCTCACTTTAATCCAGGAGTCTTTTTCTTGTATCCTGTTGTACTCTTTTGTTAGAATCTCAATTGACGTGATTTCAAATATCAATTACTTGAAATAAAACAATATGGTCATTTTTTGTCATGGCTATTGTCATGAAGCAATTATCTTAAAAGCTTAAGTTTTATGATCGGAAAGTCACGAGTTCGAGTTTGGAAAACAATCTCTTTGCATGTTAAGGCTGCGTACAATTAACCCTCATCCCTAACCTCACAATCTGGGAGCCTTGTGCATTGGGTTTTGACCATCTCTAACATATTTATATTATATCTACACACACCTCCAACGCCGTAGCTCTTTTTTGAATTGGGCTTGAATTGTGGATAATGCACCCGTCTTCTTCCTTGTGTTGGAATTCAACTTTTTTTTTTATGCAAAAAATGGGGACTACAAGGATCGAGCTCTAGACCACTTGGTTATAAGGCTCTAATACCATATCACAAATCAATTCTTCAAAAAGTTTAAGTTGTTGGGTGAACAAAAATGAAGGGTTTTATTATATCTCTAACATAGTAACATATTTATATTACATCAAACAAGTGTATATTAAATGGTGTCTTGCTTTGATTATTTTTTTGCTATTAGATATAATCTTTTTTTGGGTTTATCATCTCACTCTTAAAATTTTCTTTTACTTTTTGACACATGTAACTGGAATGACCCATTTACTTGATTGCCAACAGATCAATGACCGCTATGAGTTCCCTATGCAACTAGATCTTGATAGGGACAATGGCAAGTATCTATCTCCTGATGCAGACAGAAGTATTCGCAACCTATATACACTTCATGGGTATTGAAAATTTCACTTAATTGATCTTAAATAATGGAATCTTTTGTTTTGTTTGATGAAAACTTTCATGTATCTGCTGCTTCAACATTTTTCTATGCAATGCTTCGTGATTTGTTGCTTCATGAAATTAGTGTTATGATTGTCTGAATTGATGAAAAATGGGAAGATAGAATATTTGGAATGAAAAACCACTGCATACTCACTTACCACTTCCCATTAAACTCGACTAGCAAGGGTGGGGTGAGGGCAATCCTTGTACCCTTGCACAATTGCAAAAAGGCTATTTCTTAGATTCGAACTCATGACCTATCAGTCACAAAGGAGCAGTTTTACCACTGCTCCAAGCTTGCCCTCTTTCACGTCAAAAGGTTTTACCACTAGCACAACAAAAATGTGGAAGGTTGAAAGTCGAGTGCAACTCACTTACACTGTACCCGATATGGTTTTACCGTTAGTAGAATAGGAAAGTGTGCTGCAAGTGATTGTCCATACACTGTCAAGTAACAAACTATTCACCCTCTACCGAGAAACAGTGAAAATCAAAACTTTTCTTTCCTACATCTTCATTGCTTCCCTTCTTATTTTTTTACCGATTCAAACAAGTATAGCCTAAATCAAATTATTAGTAAGTAGTAGAGCTCACTTTCAGGCTTGAAAAGATTGTAGCTGGACTTCAACGTTCTGCATGAACATGGCGTCTCTTGAGAGTCTACTGAAGATTACAGAAAAAATGGTTATGAAAGCTACATCTAAAGATGCATGAAATGCCTGTGTTGATTAGTGAGGTTTCCTGTGTTTTTCCTGCTGTAAAGACATCTGCAGTGGCTGTTTTTTCCTCGTTTGCAGCACATGTTGGATGAGGTGAGGCCAGATCTAGGTAGAGAAGAGAAGGTCAAGTATTGCGCAGCAAGTGACGGTCTGAGATTTGCTGGACATACCTTTGTGCACAATGCAAGTGGTTGCCTGTGGATCTGACATGCAGAGAAGGGGAACCCGTGTGAGTGTGTTTGGGATGGTTGACGATGGTGGGACTCCAGGATTTTGATGGCCTAGATGATGGGCTTCAGATCTGGTTGGAAATTTTTTTGTTTGCCAGAAAACTTGACACATCGGTTGCCTCTGGTACATTGACGGCCTGGATGAGGAGCTTCAGATTTGGGGGTTTCACCTGGTCAGAAAAATTTCTAGTTGCTGTAAGGAGGCGTGATTGGACTGGCTTGCCGGTATTGAGGCACTCAGGCACATGAGAAACTAATGCTGTGCATAGGTGGCCTTAAGGATGACACGTGATAGAAACCAAAAACCAGAGTGGAATTCGGTTTTCGGAATAATTTTGTCACTGGTGGGCAGTATCAACTTGGCTCTGATACAATGTTGAATTTAATAGAAAGTCTGTCCGTGTGTCTTAACTTCACAAAGAAGAGGAGTTTATGAAACCAAGGAAGTAAAGAGGTGCAATGAACCTAGACACTATTATGAAACCAAACAAGTTTATACAATGAACCTTCAACAGCTTAGAGACCTTTACAAGTATACGCTAGGCATACTGGTATAGTAGTCAAGATACTAGAGTTCCTTCTTGTTCACCTTCATCTTCTTTAAATTCTTTACCTGAGGTCTTGCTACACTTTGTTGATCCTTCTCTTGATCTACCTATTGACTTAAGGATTGATAAGTGTACTTGTACTCAACAAAAGCATCCCATTCTAAATGATCTTACCTTTTTTTTTTTTTTGTTCATTTGTCTCCTTCATTTTGAGCTTTTGTCACATTGTTTTCTTTTATTACCCTGCCATCCTCTTATAATCTGACATTATCCTTTTGATTGGAAGAGTGCAATGGATCAGGAAATGAATGCATTTCTTAGTACCTGCATTTAGGATCTTGTGTGTCTTCCTTATGTAGTCCTGCGTAGATAGGGTTTTACTTTCAATTACAATCTTGATGGAGGTGTTGAAATACTAAAAGCTTGATGGGTTGCAAAGGGCTACATCCAAAACTTTGAAGTTGACTAAGGCAATAGTTATGCCGTCATGAAGGAAGTAATGGAAAGGTAGAAGGGGGAGTAAATATTAGGATAAAATAAATTAGTTGTTGGTGACGTGCCAATAAGCATCTTAACAGTGATGGTATGAACAAAATCTTGGATGTGGAAAGATGATATGCATTTGGTTGATGAAATATGGAGTTTGCTTCTAGTACCTGTTGAGCTTTGCTGACCTAATTGAAGCTTGAGGTGGGGTAGCCATGAACTGGGTAGAATTTGTTTAGGACAATCTATAATTGGCCTATATGTTGAAGACCATTATTGAATTTTACTTGTTAAAGAATATGAGTCGTGCAATATTTTACAAAATAAAATAAAATTGTGCAATTGCTTGCTGTGACTGTGACTAATAGTTTTGCTTCAAATTGCTAATCTGCATGTGTACCTTATCTGCATTATTTGTTTGCAGTGTTTTGGTTCACAGTGGTGGGGTTCATGGTGGACACTACTATGCTTACATTAGGCCAACTCTATCAAATCAGTGGTATGCGCCAGTTTCAGCAATCTTTTGAATCTTCATTATTTATTTATGTATTACTCTATTCATTTCACTGTATTCATTGTGCACTTGTTTATTTGTCATGAAACATGTAAAGTGACATAATTGATTATTCAGGACAATATTGATCACTATGGAAGAGGAAAAAATCTGGTGTCATATATTGTGCTACAGTGCTAATGGTGCTAGAACATCATGACTAGTTAATCACTCTGACTAACTCGTACAATTTTATTGTTATAAAATTTATTTATGATGATTTTATCATCTTTATTACATCAAACTGAAGAAGATTTAAAGGTACAGAGCATAAGGTTTTGACATTGATAAAATATCTATTGGATATTAATTGAGAAATTGTAATTGCGATTCCTATTTTATGGGAGCAGCCGTGATTGACTGATCCTGTTGATAGGTCCTTTTAGCTATACAGCTGTATTATTATGTTCCCTTTCTTGAAGGGATTAATTATATATCATATCCCTGATTAGTTGTAATCATTTAGGATGTTTCCTTTATTAGGGAGAGGACTTTAGTCCTTTCCATTTTAGGGTCCTAAACTAGTATACCAGTTTTCCTATTTATTTCAGCTTCTGTAATAATTTTAGAATTAAGGTGGAATGAAACACAATTTTCTTTCAAATTCTACATAGTTTGAGAGCACTATTCGAACCATGTTTAAATTGAAATAAAACCTTTGTTCCTCCATGGCCAGCACAAGAGAAAGCCGTCTCAGAGATAACATCCAGGTCGGGCTGTTATGTCCAACATCACCAGCTTGACCAAAGGAACTATTCTTCCTGTCACTGGCCACAAACTAAATGGCCAGAACTTAATCCATTGGGTCTGATCTGTAGGATTTTCCTCTAAGGAAAGGGAAAAGAGGAAGGATGGGAACCCAGCTAGAACTGAAATACGAATGGAATATAAAAGTTTATATTGAACTGTAATTCTGATATCAAATGGATTTTCATTTAATGTTTGTAGTTACAGAGATAAAAAAATGAAACATGGTCTAGAACATTGGAGAGGCCCTAGTGCCTCCCAAATCTTTTCTCCTTAATCTTCTGATCTCGTAGGCCCCCCCTCCTGTCTTAAAGCTAAACTATTGTAAATAACAACTTTTCTCTCTAAAATCTAGTCACACTTTTGTCAGCCTAAGATTCTAATCCTCTACCCGGTTTCCTACAATACACCCTAGTAATGGGTGGTTTCCCAAAAACCCTTACCCCAAAAGATTCACCTTGTCCTTAAGGTGAGGAGTAGCCTTTGAAAACCCTCCTTCGGGTTTCCACTGCTTGAAATATAGGGATCCACTTATGCAAGAAGCATGAGAACTTCCACCAGTATCCCATTGCACTTCTGCAACTCCCCCTTGCCGTCCATCTTCAAGTGCTACACCATGGAAGGAACCAATGGCCAGCACATCCTTAATATAAGTAGGAGGTGGAGGATATGAGCCAAAAAGTGTTGAAAGAATGTCTATCATAGACAGGCTATGTTATCTATTAGTACATCATCAATTGTTGCACGGAAGTCAGAGAACTCTTATCTCCTCTTAGAAAGAAGAGAAAAGTGGGGAGCCCATAGGTAAGTTCTAACAGTGCAAAAGTTGCCACTTCTCTGGAATTTTCTGGTCTGATTTAATGATTATTTCAAAAGTAGAAAACTATTTTGTACCTCTTTTGGGCTTCTTCTAGAATTGCAGCCTGCAATGTCTCTAATGAGATTAATCCACCTCTTATTATTAGATAGTTTCCTATCTCACAGTTACCAACACAATCACATAATGGCTCAATTGAATCACCTTTTATAGGCAAGCAATTTAGCCTAGCGCGGACATCTTGTGTTGCATTTATGCCATTGCAACTGAACTTGCTTATTTTTGCAGCAGCAAAACAACATTGTCTTATGGTGTTACAATATATGAAAGTAATGCATTTGGATGCCTAATTTTAGCCTCTAACCTTGAAAGTGCCTCCCATCCAAGGGGTTTCAGAAAGATCCTCCAAACTCAGCGTAAGCATCCTCCACTTCTCCTTTCAGTTGCTCTTGCTCTTGGGTCTTTGCCTATCCTTGAGAAACAATATACAACTTTTTTATCACCTAGAAAAATGGTTCTGATAGAGTTATATAAAAACATTAATGTAGCCTCACCCAAAAACTTAAGCTTTTGGGTTGAATTTGGTTCTTCACATGGTATTAGAGCCTCAGTGTCACAGGTTCGATTCTCATTGCCTTCCACTTTCTCTTGTGGAATTTCTTAGTACAGGTAGGTGCGCCTGTGCATTGTTCACCCTTCAAGCCCAATGGGCTCTCGTGTGAGGGGTTGTGTTAGAGTTATATAAAACCATTAATGAAGCCTCCATAGTTATCAAATGCGGATTGCGGCATGTCGCGGCCAACCCCGAAAAACACTATAGCGGGTTGCGGTTGCAGAAATAGCGGAATAGATATATGACAGAAATAATGATAAAAAGAAACATTTTTTAAAGGCAGAGATAGCAGAAGTGACAGAGAGACGCGGATAGACTAAAAAATCCTTAAATTTTTTCTGTTACACATTTAAATTTAGGAAAAATTTAGATTTTGCCTTATGACAGCAATATGACCGCAATTTGGCTGCAAATGCGATCGCAATGGCCACTATTGTGTTTCGGTGTGGCGCGACGCGGTTTCTTGCGGAGAGGCACCACAACGCCCATACGGCTCGGCTTGCGACGCTATTACGGCACAATTAACTACTATGGAAGCCTCACCCAAAAGTTTAAGCTTTTGGGTTGAATTGGTTCTTTACAGGTTCCAAAGTTTCATTTTATGGACAACACTTTGTAATTTACTTTGAATGTGACCTCTTTCTCGATGCAAAGAGACACTGGACTAGGATTGGCCAAAGCCTTGATGAGATTCACTATTTCTTTCCCAACAATAAATGAGGATTTCTCTTGCCATTGACACAGAGTACCCCGATGTGATGGTGTCTTGGTCAACTTGGTTTTGTGTGCCCTCAAAAGGAATTACGTTATCTTAGTTTGATGAATTGGAGCTAAGTGTCTTGGGTCTAATTAAGTTTAACCCAATCATGGGCTTACTAGCCTAAACATCACATTTAATAGAAAGGAAAGGGCCCATAAAGAGTGCTTTGGGCTTTGGTTCATTATGCTAGCGTCTTGGCCAAATTTTGTTAAGCTCCCCTATTACCTAGTTCGGTTTCTTCTCTTAAGAGGCGTTCGTAGCCGCCCTCCATGGTTGCGTAATGGAGACTTAACCTGGAATTAATTTGCTTTTTTTCCCATTTTTCCTTTTGTTCTCTATGTGTTCGTACATCGTAGCCACCTTCATCGTTCTTGGCTGTGCTATGAAGATTTTTCTTCTCTTGTATGAAGTTTGGTGGTTCCTGTAACGGAGGGGGGTCGTCCACCACCACTGAATCCAGTGCTACTGGTACTTGCGCACAGTGGGAAAATCCCTCAATCTCAGACTCCCCTTGTTTTCATTTGCAATTTCTTGTTGGCCTGAGTCTAGGAGCACTTTGCTTCGTAGTATGAACTTTGATTACGTGGGAACTTTACAAAATTTTTACCCTCTTTGTTTCATCTTCCTCTTTGTTACCTCTGTGCTTATTCTCACATGTTTCTAGGTGATCCCCAGTGATATTCGTTGCTTCCCCCCCTCTGTGGTCTCTTTCTTCTCTTACGATAAAGTTTATTTGCATCACCAGTTTTGAATTCGGCTGTCCAGACTCAAGCTGTTTATCCCCAAGATATAGATCTAGATCGTATTCTGATTGAAAGAGCTTGAGCAATGCCTTGGAGAAGTCCCACCATGTTGCATACTTGCATTTGGGTAGAAACAAATCCACCAATAATACCAAATTTGAGCGCGTCCTGTGACTACCTTTGCAGCTTCGGAAACCTTCTTTGTTGCACGTATTCCTTTATCTTTGACATGTTGCTTGATAAGACTGGATAAAAAATAGAGGAAATTAAAGAACACAAGCAAGTTTTTGGCCTTGATTAATATCTGGATTTTTTGTATATTGATGAATCAAATGGCTACAGTAATGGAAATTTGCAAAATAGGAAACTACTACAAAACAATGCTATCATAGAAAGAAATCTCTAATGACAGAAACTACATATCATCAGATTAGAGACTTGAAAGTAAGAATGAATAAAATTGTATTCAATTGTGTATTAACCTAATACAAGGAGTTACAATATATAGAGACCCTAATGGGCGTAAGTGAGAAGCCCAAAATATTAACAGATAGGAAGTAATCTATTTAAATCTAATCCAATCTAATCATATCCTATTCTAATATTTCTAACACTCCCCCTCAAGCTGGTGCGTATATATCATAAGCTCCCAGCTTGTTACATATATGATCTATTCGGGGACCTCTAAGAGCCTTGGTGAAAATATCTGCAAGTTGATCACTGGAATTAACAAATGCTGTCTCGATCTCTCCTGATTGAATCTTCTCTCTAACAAAGTGACAATCAATTTCTATATGTTTGGTCCTCTCATGAAAGACTGGGTTAGAGGATATATGCAATGCTGCTTGATTGTCACAGATGAGCTTCATGGGCTGCTGTTCACAGAGATGTAGCTCCTTAAGCAATTGTTTTAGCCAGATGAGCTCACAGGTTGCATTTTCCATTGCCCGATATTCTGCCTCTGCACTTGACCTTGCGACAACAGTTTGTTTCTTACTCTTCCAAGAGATCAAGTTTCATCCAAGGAGAACACAATACCCCGAGGTGGATCGTCTGTCTGAAGGAGAACCTGCCCAGTTAGCATCTGAATAGCTAGATACCTTAGCATTCCCTTTATTTGTGTATAATAAACCTCTTCCTGGTGCTCTTTTGATATATCGAAGAATCCTGACAACTGCATCCCAATGGGAGTCACAAGGAGAGTCAAGGAATTGACTTGCCACACTAACTGCAAAAGAGATGTCTGGTCTTGTCACAGTAAGATAGTTCAACTTTCCAACTAACCGGCGATAACGACCAGGGTCTATCAATGGCTCCCCCTTTCCGGGTAACAGCTTAACATTAGGATCCATAGGTGTATCAATAGGTTTACATCCCAAATACCAGTCTCATCTAGGATATATATAGTCCCACATTGGTTGTATGTGCAACTAATGTGGAGTTTATAAGGTCTTGGGCACTCCCACCCTTTGAGCTAGCTTTTGGGGTGGTGTATCCCAAGGTTCTTTACATGGTATTAGAGCCTCGCCGCCCCACACTTTCTCTTGTGGCGTTTCTTAGCACAGGTAGGCTGGGCCTGTTGCATTGTCCACTCTTCAAGCCCAATGGGCTCTCGTGTGAGGGGGCGTGTTGAGATATATAGTCCCAAATTGGTTGTATGTGCAACTAATGTGGAGTTTATAAGGTCTTGGGCACTCCCATCCTTTGAGCTAGCTTTTGGGGTGGTGTATCCCAAGGTTCTTTACATAGAGAGATGTTGAGCTCTCCAAGTCCCAAATCCTTATTCCAATTCCCAACTTACTTCCCTTTGCATGCCCAACTCACCATATAATCAACCTTCCTAACCAACTTAGCCAGCTCAGCACCTACTTAATAAAATTGCACACACTTAATTACATGTGCTATCATCCAGAATATTCCCATGGTTAATTATTCTCCTATGACGCCTCCTACCATACACCTTAACGTGTTGTATCATTCCTCCACTCCATAATCAAGTTGTCTAGAGTTTGATCCTTGCCATAGGCATTCATCCAATAGAATGTTGAATTTCAACATGAGGACTTTTGAGATTGTCAACCATTCCATTACTACTCTCGCCCAAGCACTCTTAGTTGTGGAACTCACCCCTAAAGGTCTTTGGACTTGCAGCCTTTCTTATTACTAGCAGCCTCGTTGCAACAAATTGGACATGAAATCCATGAAATGCATATTCATGTTACTTTCCAAACCAAGAGGGATCCTTTGTCGTGACCACCAGGCTTATCACAACCAATTGGACCTAGAATACATGAAATATGTTTTTAGGTTACTCTCCAAATCAAAAGGGCTACAAAAGCTACTCACCATAGTTGTTAATAATGCACGATACACGATACGTATCATGTGATACGGTACGATACAGAAGCTGAGTTATATGTGTCGGTTGCCTGTATCAAAATATTAGTCTTGTATCGGACCACAAATCGTTGTATTGTATGATTCAGTATCTAATCGGGTATCATATCACAATTTACGTACGATTCTAAAATCGTACCAATATTTGCAATTTTTAATTGAATTTTTTTTAAAAAAGTCATTAATTAGGGAAAGGAAATGGAGATATGATTTGTGATTCAAATTCAAAATTGAATCTAGAAAGTCACAATTGATTGGGGAAACAATCAAACAAATATTCAAATTAATACAAATCTCTTCAGTCTTAAAATAACTGATACTGATGATTACCAAAAAAAATAAAAGTAACTGATACTGAAAAAATAGAGACTTGCACACTAGAAACAAAGTCTCTTAGAGAAGTTTTCAAAGAACTATAGTACAGACAAAAGGAGAGAAATTGCAGGCTCAAAATACTATTTATATGACATTATATATTTTTAAATTATTTTTCATTATGTTTGTGAATCCTACTATTCGATACAATTCACGATATACGATACAAAAAAAATAGCCAAACGATATACGGTATGTATTGCGATGCAACAATCTTGCTACTCACCAACAGCCAATATATTTTATCACCCATAGATGTGACCTCGAGTTGTTATGGGACGTGGGTTCGTCCAATGTAAAACTGACCAAACTATATTAAGCGCTAATCAAATCAGAGAGAAAAGGTGAGAAGTAGAGGGAAAGGAAGAAAAATTTGATCTGAGCATTTCTAGCTTATATTTCTTACTGCTCTGAATATTAGCAGCAGTATTTATAGATTTACATGATGGCTTAAGCAAGCTTAATGAAACTGAACTTGTTGTAACTAAACTAAAACTGTTTACAACCAAAAGCTACCTAACTTGTCATATCAGCTAATCAACGACTGAAAGGCAGTTGCATTGATTACTCTAGGGCTGCACCTCTAGTGCTGTGCTAGCCTATTCAACTAGCGTAATACAAATAGCTTATTCAACCAAATTGACTCAGATCACAAGTTCCAAGATCTTTGTTATGGTTTCTGGATTTTATGCTGGGTAAAACTGGTCCTTGTAGCTCAACAAGTTGGTAAAAGTTTCATCATCGATGTTTATTTAATGTTTCTGGACATAATGTGTAAATCTGTCATGGTGGCTTGATCACACAGCTTGATTTATATCTCTAATTGTTGTGGTGCTCTTAAATCCTAATATACCTATCTTTGATTGTTTGTTGATGATTTCAAATTTGAAAAGAAAACATGCTTTTTTCAGGTTTAAATTTGATGATGAACGAGTAACGAAAGAAGATATAAAGAGGGCTTTAGAAGAACAATATGGTGGTGAAGAAGAGGTAATATTCTTTAAGCATTCGTTGGCTTCTCTCCAATATTTTTTATTGATATTTGTTGTCTTGGTGAATTATCTTTTTTCTTTTTTTTAATCATCTTCCCCTTTTTTGTTATCTTCATTTTTTTTGTCTACAGTTACCGCATACAAATCCTGGGTTCAACAACTCTCCTTTTAAATTTACAAAGTACTCAAATGCATATATGCTTGTTTATATACGTGAAAGCGACACAGAGAAGATAATTTGTAATGTGGATGAGAAGGACATTGCTGAACACCTTAAAGTAAGATATTAATTTAGTTCGCTGATGTCATGATTTTTATCTTGTATTTCAATTGAAAAAAAGCTTCCTTTTAAATTGTAATATTTAGATAAGATTAAAGAAAGAACAAGAAGAAAAACAGCAAAAGAGGAAGGAGAAGGCCGAGGCTCACTTGTACACCATCATAAAGGTTACAACTGTATTTTTTTTTTCCATATATTTTTTATCTTTGAATGCTTTGTATTGTATTGTATTGTATTGATATGCTTTGTTCATAAGGTGAGATTCAATGTTGTTGTTAATTCATTGGCCTCAGGTTGCCCGTGATGAAGATCTACATGAACAGATTGGGAAGGACATATTCTTTGATCTTGTAGATCATGATAAAGTGCGGAGTTTTCGCATTCAAAAACAAATGCCCTTTATCCTTTTCAAGGTATGAACATGGTTTTTTGTTTTTTGTTTTAATGTTATTAGCATATTATCTTTTTTTTTTTTTTGATAACAATTAGCATATTATCTTTAAGTTGTTTGCATATATACAAATTTCTATTCTTTTGGGTTAGCATTCCTACATTTTTCACTTATTGATAGATTAAGCAAATATGCACACATTCTTCCTCTTTGCCACCCATATACTGCCACCAAGGAAGTGGCTTAGTATTTCATCAAGGAAGTTGTCAGGCTCCATGGATCCCCATTGTTAGAAATATAAATATAAAAACTATTAAAATTCCTTTACGTAACAACTTAAGCTTTTAGGAGAGTTGATTCGTGACATGGTGTCAAAGCCTTCATGAGTCATTGCGCCTCCTATTCTTTTAATAAATATTGTGAAATTTGTTACCACAAGATAGATGAGATTGTGCATTGTCTACCTCTCAAGCCCAAATGGCTCGTGTGAGTGTGCATGTTAGAAAGATAAGTATAAAATCCTTTAATTTTCCTAAAACCTAATAGCTTAAGGAGAGTTGGACTTGAAAGAAGGAAATTGAATAATATTGATTATCACAGAAATATGTACATGGGTTACACTATTTATATAAACTAACAAACCTAATAACCCAAAGTGCATAAACTCAAAAACTAATAAAATAAAATACAATAATTTCAATTATTTACAACATTCCCCTGCTCCCGCTAAAGCTTAGAAATAGATATTTATCATTCCCAACGTGCTAGTTAGTTCTTGAAATATGTCAGTGGGAAGCCCATTAGTCAAGATGTCTGCTAATTCACAACTAGAAGGAATGAATGAAGTAGTAATCAATCCGCTGTCTAATTTCCCTTTGATGAAGAAGTGCCAATCAATCTCAATATGTTTTGTTCGATCGTGTTGGACACACAATTGTGAGCTATACAGATAATTGACCAATTATCTGACGGAACCTATTGCTAACTCACACAATCAATTACAATATTCAAAGAGAAAGAGTAGAAAGATGATGACAAGTATATTTCATTTATGGATAAAGCTACAGTTACACTGTAAAGCAAAGACACTAATGTAAAATAGAGACACTAATGGAATGCAGCAAGAGCCTAGCAGGTTCCTCATCCTAATTACAGACTTCAACAATAAACGATAATAGGAATTACAATGACAATGCAGAAAAGATAAACCAAAGTTCTCAACTCACCCTCAAAGCCAAAGACCTAGGCCTCAAGAGATCCCTAGATATCCTTTTCCCTCTTCCCAATTTCCATTTCACTCAATACATGCATACCTCACTACACACCCTCGCTCACCTTTTATCCCTTTCCCTCTTCCACAATGTCTGACTCCATGTTTTGGTGCTTTGTGTGTTGCTGCCCTGTATGCTGCCAATTGGGTCGTGAGTTTGTCCTTGAAGCCCATACACTTAAAACAACAATCGAGGTATTGGGCTCACTTTGGTTCAGACGAGGCCCAACATGTGTTCTCCCATCCAGCCCATTATTTGATTCCCCTCCAGCTGTTACTGTCAGATTAGTAGATTGGGCTGTAAGGGCAGCTCGATAATAATGGCCCACTCCTCCTCTATTGGACCTTGGCCAATTTCGACGCAAACCCATAATCATGTGCAGACGAGCAAGAGCAGCAGCTTCCCCTCGCTTTGTCTTCTGCGTTATCATCCCATGAAGAGTGCGCCAACAGATCTTAGCATGGGTACGGAAACGGATGGGACCAACAGAATCCTCGTCCGAGCCTGAGTTAGACAGATCCTCAAATTGGATATGAGCTGGTGAAGTCCAATAGTTATGAGGCTGGCTCACAGGTGTAAGAAGGTGAATGGCCTGGACAGTAGGCAGCGTTGCTGAGGATTGTGAGGGTACAATGAAGGAGTTGTCAAAATGCCACCAACACGTCGCAACCTGATGACCATTTTTGCGACAAAGTTGGTACTGTAAACCAGATCTGGTGCCATTCCTACCTCCGTGAGCTCTGCCATGACCTCCAGGCCAACCACCACGCGTGAAGTCTCCTGAATTTCCAGTCTTCTGTTCTGGATCACCTGAAACAAAGACAAACAGAGGAGAAGTGTTTGTCTGTGTTCTTCCGTTTTTTTCTGCTATTTTATTTTTTGTTTCAGCTTTCGTTCTTTCGATTTGTTTCGATCTGTTTTGGCTTCCCCAAATCTCGATATGTTTCGATCATCTTTATCTTCTTCTATATCTTCACTCTCTCTCCTACTGCAGTGACATCTTTGTCCGCTTCCTTTTCTTCTTTGTCTAATTTGTTTCTTTCTTCTCCTTTTGTTGCGTTTTTGCTCTTTTCTTCTTCAATTTCTTTGCTTCTTCTGTGATTATTTCTTCTCCTCCGTTTTTTTTCTTTTTTTATTTCTTCTCTCGTTTCTTTTCTGTTTACTTTTTTTTCCTCTTCGATTTTTTCCTCTTCTTCTACACCTTTTTTTTTTTTTCCTTTCCTTCCCTTTTTTCTGGGTTATTTGATAATTCAACCTCCCCTACCACACAGATCTCAGGTATATATCTCCCTATAAAGCTCTATCAAAGCTCCACCAGCGTAGATGGGAATTGAGCCCACTCCAAAGTTTGTACAGCTGAGAGCACGACCTCTTAACCCCTTCACAGTTTCATTCAGCATATCAGCTTCTTGAATTTGGTTTGCTAGAAAATGTTGTTCAAGACCAGTCAAACATCCCCAAGCTTTAACTCCATCTTCATCTCCATAAAATTCTGGAATCATCTTTTTTTTTTTTATAGATCTAGATCAACACTCCAAGGATCTGAAGCTTTGATACTAAATTGATGGAACCTATTGCTAATTCACACAGTCAATCACAGTATTCAAACAGAGATAAAGGAGAGAGATGATGACAAGTATATTTCATTCATGGATAAAGCTATGGTTACACTGTAAAGCAAAGACACTAATGTAAAACAGAGACACTAATGGAATGCAGCAAGAGCCTAACAAGTTCATCATCCTAATTATAGACTTCAACAATAAACGATAACAGGAATTACAATGACAATACAAAAAAGATAAACCAAAGGTCTCAACTCACCCTCAAAGCGCTTAAGAGATCCCTAGAGATCCTTTTCCACATTCCCAATTTCCATTTCACTCAATACATGCATACCTCACTACACATACTCATTCACCTTTTATCCTACTCATAGGATATTCTAGAAGCAATTCCTTAACTAACTAACTACCTAATTATTTAAGACCCATCACTAACTAATTATTTCAGGCCCATCATTATCACACAGTAGTTTCGTGGGTCCTTCATATTTTAATTTTAGATTATCCTAAATGATTTAGCCATAACAATTCGCAAATATTTTGGGCTATGTCTCGAAATTTGGCTTCTACACTTGTCCTAACAATCACATTGTTCTTTTTAATCCTCCATGTTACAAGGTTTCCACAAAGAAACATATAATTGCTTGAAGTAGATCGTCAATCAATCATAGACCCAGCATAATCAACATCAATATAAACTTCTAGGGATAGATTTCCCCTTCTCACGAATAACAATCCTCTGCCATGAGTGGCCTTAAGGTACTAGAGAAACTTGCCTACCGCGTGCATGTATTCTTCCTTGGGTTATGCATGAACTGACTAACAATGCTAACTGCAAAAGTTAGATAAGGTTTGGTATGAGCTATGTATATCAATCTTCCCACCAGTCGTTGGTATTGTCCTTTGTCAATTGAAAGATTCTCCTCTTCTTTTCGTTCCCATTTTAGTGACTTTGCTTAATAGTAGACTGGAAGGTTTACACTTAAGTTTTCCTACTTCTTTAAGGAGATCTAGGATATACTTTTGCTGATAGGTAAAAATACTTTCCTTTGAATGGGCTACTTTTATTATAAGAAAATATCTCAGCTATCCATGTTCTTTAACGTCAAATTCAATAGTCAATTTCTCATGTAGAGCACGTTTCTCAGCTACCATCCCCTGGGATAATAATCTTATCAACATGTGTAAATTACCTATACAAATATATTCTAACAGATATAAATGTGTAAATACTTTAAAGATCTATTCATAGAGAAGAAGGAAATGCCCTTCAATTGAAATATACAAGTTTATCTTGTAACACAAATAGAACAGTACACGGGACTAACAATATTGTGTTGTTAACTCTTTGACAACCACTGCGCAGGACTTGATAATTTTGTGATATCCATGGATAAAATAATGCAAAATTTATTGTTTCTTGCAAAATAAATAATGAAGGGATAGAGCTTATTGGTCTTTTTCTTTTTTTGTGCTGCGGACCAGAGTTTCTAGTTAGGATTCTGATTAGAGTATGTCTTAACTAGGGATTGGTCACATCAGTTGAGCAACTTAAGTAGCTACAGGCTCCTATTATTTGCTTAGATAGTCCCTAGTTGCTTACATGTTATTTGTAATGGTTTATTATTGTTACGATGCATTTTATAGGAATCAGACTTTGTTAGTTAGGTGGTTAGGTTGTTAGGAGTAATTAGCCCCTCGTCTATATAAGGGCAACATTCTTTCTATGAATTTCTTCGACTGCTTAAAGGCGTTCTTACTAAACCAATTGCTCCTAGTTTGTCGCCACTATCCACTGTATGCTCAACATCAACGACCCAAGTCCTTCGCTAATCATCGGGAGTGGGCTATGAAGACTTCTCAAGCGGAGTGTGAAAAATGTATGGTTGATCATAGTTGTCCTTCTCGCCTCTTTGGGTCTTTAGCAATAACACCATAGTTGCGCAAGCAGAGAAAAGCCAAAACTCATGGACGAAAGTAGTGTAGCGCAAGGGTTCCCCTTTAGGTGCTAATATGCGTTTCACCTTGGTTGTACCCAAGCCCTACCAAAACTGATATCCAGGCCCAAAAATTTTGTCATATTTTTGAACCGTTTTCTGTGATTCATAGTTGGAAACTGGGGATAGGCCCATGGGACTCTTGACCCACCCTTTTCCATTATCCTTGCTTAGACCCCTTTTCTTGACTATATCCAAGACTGGGTCCCGCGTTGACCCAATCTGCACCTTCTCTCGATCTCCTTCACCATGTATCTCTCGAACGCACACCCCTTGTTCTGCTGGAAATGACCAGCAGTTTGCTGTGTGAGTGCTTGGTTCCGGCAGCTGTGGTGGTGGTGGAGCCGTTGGTGGATTTCGTATCACATACATACCCACAACTCCAATTGCGGCCCTTTTCTTCTGCACTTCCTTCCTCTCTACCCTTTTCTCGAGCTTGAACACTTCTTGTATACAACTAAGAGAGAAAACCTCTCCCCTTGAGTCATACTTCAGTTCTTCCTCCATATCTCTCTGTCCTTGCAGTTTTCCGGTTAGATTTTTTTTTCTTATTTGCCTCTGATATATCTGGATTTGAACCACCCTCGTTGATGATTGAAAAGAACTTAAAAATCTTTTTGGGCCCATTTGACATTTGAACCACCGTCGTTGATGATTGAAAAGAACTTAAAAATCTTTTTGGGCCCATTTGACAAACCTTGAGACTCATCTTCGTCTTCACCCTTAATTTGCTTCATACCTGGTGCTGGATCCTCTCCTTTTATCTTATTTGACTTCCTGGTTCCTTCTTCCTTAGCGTCGTGCATCGTTTTTTCACCACCAACACCCATGTTGGAAGAAACCCCCTTCTCTGTTGAAGGTTGTGTCTTCATGATTTCAGAGACTGACTTCTCCTCTATAACATCAACTTCAATACATCCAACATTTTTGTTTCTTCTTTGTTGGTGCAACTCTTAGTTATTGCTCCAGAACCATCCATGGTTGAAGAGGCCTCAACAATTTTTTTGGGTACCTTAAACAAATCCTGAAATCCCCCTTCTTCTATCTCCATTTTCTGCATACCCATTTATGGCTTGGAAACTACAAGAATTCCATCAAAATCGCGATTCTTCATTTTGCATATTGGTGTCTCCCTTTTCTCCACCAACCTATCAAGAATCTTTAATTTTTTATGCATCTTTTCATTGAATTCTGAGACGGTAGAATCCCTGGTCGTCTTCTTGATATGATTTCCAGAATTCTTCAAAGCTCCTCCTATGGCGTTCACCCCTTGTTTGAATCTGGCAGTTCGGACCAATTGTTACGACCCTAGATTGTTACCAGGAAAGAATCACAGAAATGGGGGAGAGAGGAAGATGAAAAGGAAAGGAAATGAAGGAAAGAACAATTCTTTATTTGATTAATAGCAAAGAGTACAACGATAGAATTCAAGAGCAAGCTCTTCTCAAGGGGAACTCCCCTTCACACTGAGATACTCCTCAGTCAATTCTACAATACAATCCCAAAGATCATTATGACAGAAAGAATGTTGCCCTTATATACACGAGGGACTAATTACTCCTAACAACCTAACCACTTAACTATCAAAGTCTGACTCCTATAAAATGGGTCGTAACAATTATTATATCATTTCAATGCTCTACCCTTCTTTTCTAAATAAAGATCATTTCAATGCTTCTATGCAGGGTAGTATGATGTTCATTGTATTCTTTATCATCTAGTGATATTGGTGATTGACCTATTTGGTGTTTTATATTCTATAAAGCTTGTTATGATTTTGAATTTACTTCGTATCTTTCTGACAATGAAGCTTTTATCAGGAAGAAGTTGCCAGAGAGCTAGGTATACCTGTCCAGTACCTACGTTTTTGGTTGTGGGCAAAGCGCCAAAACCACACATATAGGCCTAATAGACCACTGACACCTCAGGATGAAACACAATCAGTAAGTACATCAAAGAACTTCCAATGCTCTCTGTTTCTTTAATAGCAGGGTGGCTGGCATCTGTTTGAGGTCATTATAAAGTTATTAAGCTCATTCTTAACGTTAATAGTATGTGGTTTTGAAGACTGATATGTCTACTTTCTTTGATCTATGGTTGCCTTTTTTGCACATGCTAATGAAAATGGGTCCTCAATGACAAGTCTAGTAGTGTTCACAAACACGAAATGTATATTAGTTTCTGATATCTGATAAAATAGAATTGGATACTCTTAACTTATTTTGACTGGTTCTGTAGTATAAAACTTATTTGATATGATGGAGCTTTTGACTAATGTTCTTGAGATGTCTATCATTGATGTATTTACATTGTGGGAAAGATTTGTTCATTCCTTATTTCTTTTGAACATGACATGATTATTGTGTACAATAACAGTAGGTAAAAAAATCGATTAATCATTTCTTGGAGTTTCATTGTAAATTCTAAAAAAAATAATAAGTAAATATAAAATTGGTTAAAAGAGAGCGTGAGACTTTGTTTTTCATTTTTTGAAATGCTATCTCCGTTGACAGGCATATCTTCCTCCTAGTCATGATTTGTGTACTGTGTTGTGGCACTTTGACCATTGTAGGTTGGACAATTAAGAGAAATATCTAATAAGGGAAATAATGCTGAGCTGAAGTTATTTTTGGAACTGGAAATGGGGCAGGTAATGTTTTTCTTGGTAGTTTCATCTTCCTGATAGTGTGGTAGTTACTATTATATAGTATATATTGTACTCTCCCTTTCCAATTGAGTCACAACTGACATGGATTTGTTTTTTATGCCTTAATGAATTAGGATTTGCGGCCTATTCCTCCTCCTTTGAAGCCTAAAGAGGAGTTGTTGCTATTCTTTAAACTTTATGAACCTTCAAATGAGAAGCTTCGGTATTTGCTCTACCTATTACTAAATAGAGATAAAACTTCATTTAATTAATAAAATGTATTTTCTTCTGTTTCCTCAGATATGTTGGGAGGCTTTTTGTGACGGGTAGTGGGAAGCCAGTAGATATATTGACAAAACTAAATGAAATGGCTGGATTTGCTCCTGATGTCGAAATTGAAATGTTTGAGGTTAGTCAATCTGCATCTCTTCTATGTTGCATGATTGCTATATCAGTGGATTGCAATTATGCTTACATTCTGTCGTGCTCTTTCAGGAAATAAAATTTGAACCTCATGTTATGTGTGAACATGTTAACAAGACATCTACTTTCCGTGAAAATCAGGTATAAATTATCAGTGACTGACTGTATATTGGGTTTCCAGTGCTTTCAAGTATGTTTTTGATGAAAAAGAAAGAGTGTTTTGCTGTATAACACTATTGATTGATTACATTGAGAGACCCAATAGGTCCTATTTATATTGAGTACAAAGAACAATGCTAATAAATAGCAACAGTAAACTAAGAGGCTTATTTACAATAACAAGAGACATTAATAAATAAGGGAATAGATAGCAAGGAATTAATAAATGATAATCTAGAATATTCTACACTCCCCCTCAAGTTGGGAGATATATATTGATCATTCCCAACTTGCTGATCAAATCCTCAAATGTCGGCTTAAGTAAACCTTTGGTGAGAATATCTGCCGTTTGTTCCTTGGTAGGTATATATGACAAGCATACACTACCGTCTTCTAATTTTTCTTTGATAAAGTGACGATTGACTTCCACATGTTTTGTTCTGTCATGATGGACAGGATTTTGAGCAATGCTGATAGCAGCTTTATTATCACAATATAATCTGATAGGTAGGGGATAAGAGATCTTCAACTCTTCCAGAAGCCTTCTTAACCAAATTCCTTCACAAATACTATGGGCTAAAGCCCGAAATTCCGCTTCTGCTCTGCTTCTTGCAACAACAGTTTGTTTCTTACTTCTCCAGGTCACAAGGTTTCCCCAGACATAAGTACAATATCCTGAAGTAGATCTTCGGTCCATTGCAGAGCCAGCCCAGTCTGCATCTCTATAAACTTCAATCATCCTTTTGTTCCCCTTTTTAAAGAGAATTCCTTGACCAGGGGTGTTTTTGAGGTACTTGAGAATTCTATAAACAACACTAAGGTGTTTTTCCTTAGGAGAATGCATGAATTGGCTAACCATGCTCACAACAAAAGCAATATCAGGACGAGTGTGAGACAAATAGATTAATTTCCCCACTAGTCTCTGGTACTGCTCCTTATCAACATCTTCCCCGTCCTCAACTCCCATCTTGATATTAGCTTCAATTGGAGTCTCTGCTGGCTTGCACCCAAGCATACCTGTTTCTTGCAACAGGTCTAGAATGTATTTTTTCTGAGTTAAGGAAATTCCTTCCTTACTTCGAGCAACTTCCATGCCAAGGAAGTATTTGAGAGATCCAAGATCTTTTAGTTCAAACTAATCAGCTAAACATTTTTTTAAAGAGGCTATCTCCTCGGTATCATTACCAGTGACAATTATGTCATCAACATAAACAATGAGGATAGCAATTCTACCTTTGTCAGAGTGTTTAAAGAATAAAGTGTGATCAGTCTGAGCTTGGGTGAACCCTCTTCCCTTAACAGCTTGAGTAAATTTCCCAAACCATTCTCTGGGAGATTGTTTAAGTCCATAGAGAGACTTCTGCAACTTGCACACAGAACCATCCCCTTTTTCAAAACCGGGAGGTGGATCCATGTAAACATCCTCATGTAGGTCACCATTCAAGAAGGCATTCTTGACATCTAACTGTTGCAATGGCCAATCAAGGTTGGCGGCAAGAGATAGCAGAACGCGGATAGTGTTAAGCTTGGCAACAGGAGCAAATGTCTCCTGATAATCAATCCCATGAGTCTGAGTAAATCCCTTAGCAACTAATCTGGCCTTATACCTGTTGATGCTGTTATCTGCATTAAATTTTATTGTGAACACCCACTTGCAACCAACAGTTTTCTTTCCTTTAGGTAATGTCACAAACTCCCATGTTCCATTTTTTATAAGTGCATCCATTTCTTCTAATACGGCGTTCCTCCATTTTGGGTCATCAAGTGCTTCTTGGATATTTTTGGGTATCCTGGTACTATCTAACATAGTGTTGAAAGCACGAAAACCTGGAGATAACTTCTCATATGAGATATAATGGGAAATAGGATGAGCAGTGCAAGATCTAGTACCTTTCCGAAGGGCGATGGGCATATCAATGTTGGCTGTGCTAGTGCATTCAAGTGGGTTGCTAGAGCAAGGACTCGAGTCAGGATCCTGGCAGTCTAGAGTCTCTTGATGTGTTTTGCGCCTGCTGTAGAATTTTCCCCATTTACCAGGAGGATCACAAGGACCGGGAGGATCATTAGACTCAGGTATAGTTGCTCCCCCTGTTTCCTTCCCAATAACTCCCCCTGTTTCCAAAGGCCAAGGTAAGACATCAGCTTCATTTGGTTTCCCAGGCTTATCTTCATCCATACCAGTAGACTCCCCCTGAAGAGAAGTCGGGGAAAAAAAAGATTGTGTCTCATAAAAGGTAACATCCATGGAAACAAAGACCTTACGGAGAGAAGGTGAGTAACACTTATAGCCTTTTTGATTAGGGGAATATCCTATGAAGACACATCTAATAGATTTAGGGTCAAGTTTGGACCTTTGATGTGGAGGAATATGTACAAAGACCACACAACCAAATATTTTGGGTGGAAGAGAAGAAAGAGCGCAGAAAGAAGAAAAAGATTTAGTAAGACAAGATAAAGGAGAATGAAAATTTAGTACCCGAGAAGGCATTCGATTAATGAGATAAGAAGCTGTCAAGATGGCTTCCCCCCACAGATATTTAGGGACATGCATCGTGAATAAGAGAGCTCGAGCAACTTCAATTAGATGTATATTTTTCCTTTCAGCCACCCCATTTTGTTGAGGGGTGTTAGGACAAGAACTTTGATGAATAATTTCATGCTGGTTTAGGTAATCTCCAAGAATAGAATTAAAATATTCAGTGCCATTGTCTGTTCGCAGAATTTTGATAGGAGTCTGGAATTGAGTTTGAATCATAGCATGAAAATTTTTAAAAGTGGATGCCGCATCAGACTTGTCTTTTAAGAGATATACCCAACATACCCTAGAATGATCATCAATGAAAGTAATAAACCAACGAGCACCCGAGACATTTTTTTCACAAGCAGGTCCCCAAATATCACTATGAATCAATGTAAAGGGAGAAGATTCATGATATTTCTTAGGAGAATAAGTGACACGAGAATGTTTTGCAAGCTGACAAATATCACAAAGAAAGGAACTTGGCTTTTTATTGATAAATAAGTTAGGGAATAACTTCTGAAGATAAACAAAATTTGGGTGCCCTAACCTACGATGCCATAACAAAACATCATTACAATCATCTGATAAACATAGAGAGTGGTTTGAAAAAATCCTCCTTTCACAAAGATCCTCCTCCAAATAGTATAGCCCTTCTTCCTCTCTAGCACTGCCAATCATCATCCCCGAGTCCTGCTCCTGAAAGATACAAGCATTTGCAGAAAACTTAGCAACACAATGCAACTCAGCAGTAAATTTGCTAATAGAGATGAGGTTACAAGTAAGGGAGGGAACATGAAGGACTGAGTTCAAAATAATATGTTCAGAAAGTTTAATGGATCCCTTGCCCGCAATAGTGGAAAAATTTCCATCAGCTGTTCTTATTCGTGACGGGTGATAGTAAGGGGTATAGGAGGAAAATATGGTTGCATTACCTGTCATGTGATCAGAGGCTCCTGAATCAAGGATCCAACGATTACTACGTTCAACATGGAATGCCATACCTTTTTGAGCAACATGACTAGTTGCCTCAGCAGATTGAGACATCAATTTCTGAAATTGCTCATACTGGGCCTTAGAGAGGAGAACACCATCGGGGTTTGAAGGGACATGAGACCCCTCCCCCTTATCTTCAGATGATACTTGATTAGCACGATTCTTGTTCTGTCCTTTTGGTTTCCAGTTTGGTGGTTTGCCATGAATTTCCCAACATTTTTCACGGGTGTGACCACCCTTATTGCAATGAGAACACCAACGGTCAGAACGTTTTGAGTCCCCAGAAGGACGAGCAGTATTCTTTGTTATAAGGGCTGACCCATCAGAGGACTTAGAGTCCTTATCACCCAACATTACCTTTCGGCGAAGCTCCTCCCTTCGTACCTCAGAAAAGGCAGTGGCAATGGGAGGTAATGGGTTTTGCCCCAAAATTCTTCCACGAACATCATCCAGATCAGAATTAAGGCCAGCAAGAAAATCATAGAGACGCCTTTTCTCTATATAATTTTTGAATATTGCATTAGCGTCTAAACCGTGAAGGTCTGCTTTATCATAAAGATCCAACTCTTGCCACAATGTTTTTAGAGCAAGGAAGTATTCAGTAACAGTCATCCCTCCTTGGCGTAAATCTTTCACTTTGGTGTTGAGTTCAAAAGCCTGAGAGGCATTGCCCAGGTCAGAGTAGTATTCTTTAACAGCTTCCCAAATTTCTTGAGCCGTATCAAGGAATAAATAAGTTTGACTGATATCCGGTTCCATACAATTAGTCAGCCATGTCATGACCAAAGCATTTTCAGTCACCCAAGCATCATAGCCAGGTTCATGTTCTGCTGGTTGAACCTTTTTTCCATCCAGATACCCCATCTTCCCTTTGGCATGGATAAACAACTTAACAGATTGACACCATTGCACATAGTTTCTACCGTTTAAACGGTGATTGGTGATCTGCATTGCTGGGTTGTCTCCAGAAGACGAAGAAATGGGAAGGGGTGAGGTTCCGGTCAAAACTCCAGATGAATTTTCAACATTTTCAGTGTCCATGGCTTCCTAACAACAATACCCAGAAAAAAAATTCCTCCAAATATGATTTTTACCCTCAAAACAGGAAGAGGGAAGGCAGACGATCAGAACGGGGTATGACCCGCCGGAAAAAAATGATGGGAGGGCGGCGCGTGGACCACACGCGCCGGCGAAGCTGAAGGATGTTGGTGGCGCGTGGCTGGGTTTCTGGCGACGGGTCTTTTGTTGGCTGGCTCGGAATTTTGTTCTGGACCTAATGGTGGCCTTGGTTTTGTGGTTGGAGGTGTCTAGGTGAGGGTTCTGGCCTTGACAGAGGCAAAAACGAAAAAAAGGAATGGAAGGAAGACTTAGGTAGTGTTTGGTTGAAGGTTTATTTTAGGATTGATGGGGAAGTGTAGGTGGATATTGGAAAATACCACGTTTGGTTCAGGTTTTTTCCAGAAATACCAGGCAAATCGTATAGATGGGAAAATGACTTTTGTGTGTATTTTTGGATGAAATTCACTGTTACAGAATACCACTTGAGATGTGGTATTTTGAGATGACTGGGGAAGTGAAAAAACAGGTGCAGAGTTTCTCCCGAACATAGATTTTACATATTTAAATAAATTTCCCTGGTAATATTTGTGTCAACCAAACAACTTTTTTTACATTTTCCTATCAAACTCACTTTCCAACCACTTTCCTATCAATTACATTTCCTTAGTAAAAAAAAATTTATCCCGAACCAAACACTACCTTAAAGAATTTAGAACAGGGAAGAGACTGGATTTTAACCAGCTCTGATACCATGATGAAAAAGAAAGAGTGTTTTGCTGTATAACACTATTGATTGATTACATTGAGAGACCCAATAGGTCCTATTTATATTGAGTACAAAGAACAATGCTAATAAATAGCAACAGTAAACTAAGAGGCTTATTTACAATAACAAGAGACATTAATAAATAAGGGAACAAATAGCAAGGAAGTAATAAATGATAATCTAGAATATTCTACATGTTGAGATATATAGTCCCACATTAGTTGTATGTGCAACTAATGTGGAGTTTATAAGGCCTTGGGCACTCCTACCTTTTGAGCTAGCTTTTGGGGTGGTGTATCCCAAGGTTCTTTACATGGTATCAGAGCCTCGCTACCCCCCACTTTCTCTTGTGGCGTTTCTTAGCACAGGTAGGTTGTACCTGTTGCATTGTCCACTCTTCAAGCCCAATGGGCTCTCGTGTGAGGGGGCGTGTTGAGATATATAGTCCCACATTAGTTGTATGTGCAACTAATGTGGAGTTTATAAGGCCTTGAGCACTCCCACCCTTTGAGCTAGCTTTTGGGGTGGTGTATCCCAAGGTTCTTTATAGTTTTAAGTATTTTATATTTCTTATTTTCACTTTAGGGTTTATTATTTTGTGTAAGGTTTATATCAGTCAATTTTTCCAACTAAGGTTTTAACTTTTGATTCCACTGTATTTTGAGCAGCTTGAGGATGGTGATATTATTTGCTTCCAGAAATCCCTCCATGTTGGAACTAGAGAACAATATCGTTATCCAGATGTTCCTTCATTCTTGGAATATGTGCATAATCGTCAGGCATGAACCTTTTAAATTTGCTTATCATTTTTGTTCTTTTAATATATTAATTCTAAATTGTTGTACCCTCTTGATATTCTCTGCTCTAAGAAGCATGTTGTTAGCAGGCCTCCAATTAAAAAGGGTGTATTTTAGGAAGAATAAGGTGATAATAGGGATTGGTGCCCAAGTCTGTTACTAACTGTACTAACTGTCTAATAGACAGTTAATAGCGAGACTTGTTATTAGGAATGAAAGGAGAAATGGGGAGTTAGTTAAGGGCAGTTATTGATTGAGACAAGGGAAGGGAGGGCCCAGGACTCTCCAATGTCCTGGAGGGAGAGAGTAACAGCATTTGTTGTTCTGCAGTGTCTTTGTATAATTGTCTCTGATCTACTATCCCATTGATACTGACCCTGAGAAATAGGAGTTCAGTCAATGAGCATTCTGTTTTACACTAAATTCTGGGGTGTTTTGGGGTCTGTGGAATGGAGGCAAGATTTGGTTCATTGGAGAATGGTTTTGACATATGGAGGAGAGAGATGGAAGCAGAAAGGCATCAATCTGTCAGGGAAGGTAAATTCAAGAATCATGAAGAGAACTTCAGGAAGCTCGATTAAATAAGATTGTAGATCTCTTGGAGAACCTAATGCAAAATACAGTAAGTGGTCTGATGAGCAGAGTAACTTCTGGGGCTTCGGAAAATAAAGAAGGAAGGAGCGGGTCTGTCGGGGGAACACCCAATGATTCGATTGAATACTGGTCGAGAAGTTTAGAGATTGGAGGATGATGCTTATGGATGGGTCAACTGATTGAAGCAATATTTCCAAATTAAAAGGGTATATGAAAGCTTGCAGGTGGTAATGATAGCTATGGAGGGGTTGATTCCAATGGCAAGAATCCAGCTTATTAAATCAATCTTGGGAAAGATTCAGAACTGCAGTATTCACCAGGTTCCAACCTTCTATGATGTAGAATCCTTAAGAAGCTTCCCTAAACATATTCAAGAGAAATGTGGTGAATCTTCACACTGCTCCAATCCTGATCTTGCCTCTGCGCCTCTTAGATATTTCTTGCACTCACAAATAGGATTCGCTGTCCAGTGTCCTGAACTACCTTAACTCCCTAAGTGGCATCCATTAATTATAGAGGGATTCTGGGTCGGATTTGTAAAAAGTCCATTCTAGAAGTTGCAAACTTCAGGCCTGGAGGAGGAGAGTCACAGCGTGGTTGGTCTTAAAGATCCCTAAGTTGTGGGGGTTGTAGGAAAAAGAAGGGTCATTGTGGTGATTAATGGAGCTTAACACAATCTTGGGTTTGTCCTATTACTGGAACCCTTTTTTGTTTGTTTGATAAACATATTTTGGTAAAAACTATGCTACTAGTTGGACTGGGATGGTCGTATCTTATGTCTCTTTGCTTTGAACTTGTTACAAGATAGAATTCTTTTTGGCTTCCCTTTCATGTTCAGTGATAAGCATCAAGGTCTTCGATTGGCATCCATTAATTCTGTTAGTATCAATTAGCATTGTATTTATTGGTTTTACCTTTTCAGTATTTCAAATCCTTGTTACAAAGGTTACAATGGCTGTATGGAAAATGCAAGCATTTAAGCCATGGTCTTCTAAAGTTTTCTTCTTCCAATCTTTCTCATGTTCTCCCCCCTCTCGCCTTTCTTTTCTGTCATTTATTTGCAATATTACCCATTCCAGAACCACCCTTAACATTCAGCTGATCGCTGTTTACGGTTTCTCTTTTGTGGTGTGCAATGTAGTTATTTGGTGTTTCTCTTTTGAGGGGGACTGTTAGAATATCTTAGGTGATATCATGTGTTGATTGTAGAATCAATTAGGATGCTATGACCCGGGATAGAACCATTGTTAATTAACACCAACACTAATATTTAGAGACCATGGGTGGACTGTTAGACATACAATTTCATCCTATCTTGTTTACTCTCTGTACTTCAAGTGGATTAATTAGTCTTCTTAGCATCTTTGTTGTGTACAGTCATTGAACTTCAGAGGGATTTCTTTGTTGGATATGAGCTTGCTTGGATTGTTTTGTTCTTTTTTTTTCTCCTTCGTTTTGCACTCTTTTAGGAGGATATACTGTCCTCTTTTCTTGTGCTGTTTTTTATTTCTTGACTCCCTCAAATTTTCTTATTGTATAAATTTAATAATAAAAATAAAAATAAAGAACATCACACAGTGTGAATAACATTTCTCACCAACAAAATACAACAAAATATCAAAATCTTGTTTATTGTCATGTTAAATTCTGTTTATTCTCTTTTTCCTTCTTTATTTTTTAGTAAGGAATTTCCTTAGAGGATGCATGAGTTTTAATTTAATTTGCACTACGATCTGCATTTTTTTTTCTTCAAATATTTGAGATTTGATGTATTTTAGATTGATCAAATCAGTTACAATGTTTGTTAACATTGTATTGTTAATGGTGCTACACTGCTATAATTTAGGGAGTGGTGTTGTGATAATTCATACTTTCTCTTTCTCTTCTGCTTCTTTGGCTATGTGCATTCTTTAGTTTATCTGTTTTGTATATGTTAAATAAAAATATAGTATGATGAAAAATTTGCATTTGTCACTTGTTTGATATATGATAGTTATTCATGTGGCTTTTTAGTGGTATTCAGCTTGTGGTTTATTTTGGGGAAGCCTGTGATGGCTATTCAGTGCACATTGGATAACTTTGTTGTTTTGAGTTTTGAATATTGGTCTTGATAGTATCTTTCTTCTATTACTATTTTGGTTAAAATAGGTGTTTTCGTCTTTCGTCAATATTTTTATTGAATATGAAAAACAGAAAAGCAAACAGATTCTTAATGTATTTGATTTCGTTAGGCTTTCACTTGCAAAGATTAAACATTAATGATAGTGAAAGAATCCTTGTTTTTAGAGACTAGTTCTGTATAGCCTAATTTCAAGTCCTTTTCAATCAGTTACTTTGCTTTGATATGCAGGTTGTTCGCTTTAGGTTTTTGGAGAAACCAAAAGAGGATGAATTCTCTCTTGAGTTGTGAGTTTTTTTTATACCTACAATTCCTTCTTTTTTTTTTTTTTTTTTTTTTTTTTTTAAATTATGAATTTTATTTATCATTATTTCATAATTGAAGTATATCTGGTGGTTCATATTTGTTTTATGATCATCCAGGTCAAAGCTCCACACCTATGACGATGTTGTTGAAAGAGTCGCTCAACATCATGGTTTAAATGATCCTTCTAAAATCAGGCTTACTTCTCATAACTGCTACTCCCAGCAACCTAAACCACAGCCTATTAAATACCGAGGAGTGGAACATTTGTCTGACATGCTGGTTCACTATAATCAGGTCATTAGTTACGAAGTGGAAGATTTTCTTAATATTTGTTGTTGCATTTTAAAATCCTTGCATAATGTTGCTTGGACTTCAAAATGGCAGTTTGGGTTTTTTTGAACTTCTGATAAGTAAATTATTCTCTTTGTTTTTTATTTTGTTTCCAGACTTCGGATATTCTATACTATGAAGTATTGGATATCCCTCTACCAGAATTGCAATGCCTAAAAACTCTGAAAATTGCTTTCCATCATGCCACCAAGGATGAAGTGAGTACTGTTTGTGGTTGTTTTAATTTTTTACACATTAATTTACTATTTTATGTTTTATACTTCTAACAGTTATCATTGCTCAGGTGGTGATTCATACCATTAGATTACCCAAACATAGTACTGTGGCAGATGTAATTAATGATCTTAAATCAAAGGTAAGGTGTTAAACCCATATAGTCAAAGTGGATACATACATGTATTATGTAAACCACATGGATTATAGACACATATACACGCTTGTAATTTGTAAACATAGTACTATATTAGTATATTGCTCGCTTTAGTTTTATATGACTATTGTTTTCTGTGTATTTGTTTTGGTTTTCTTTTCTGCTCTGAGGATTCCTTATCCTTCAATTTTTTGTGTTGTTTTCTCTTTCTAATTCTAATACTACTACTTCATTCATAACAAAAAGGATATAGTTTAGGATTGCATTTTTGTTAGTGTGTGCTAAACACCTGTGATTTCTGTATTATGGGAAATATTTAAAATAATATTTTTTGTTTCGTGAAACAGGTAGATTTATCACATCCTGGTGCAGAACTTAGATTGGTTGAAGTTTTCTATCACAAGATCTACAAGGTGCAGAGAATATACAGTTTTTGAATTTTACTCAGATACTAGAACTAGGCTATAAGCTGTAAACATGATACCTTGTGTTTGCTAGTTGATATTCATACGGTGTTCCCAATAGCCATACAGGCTCATCATTAATGTTATGCAGCCAGTTTGGAAAAAAAAGATTATAAATATGATTCAAAGAACCTAACATGGTTTTAAAAAGTGATGAAGTGCCAATATTTAAAAAAAATAAAATGATAGAAAGAGACATACAGAATGCTTAAAAACATTAGTGCACTCAACTAAATGCAAATTCAGTAACATGGTTGGCAATTACTGATTAAGGATTTGGGAGGGTGGTTATAGGTCTCTCGAATGACCCGTGGCATCTTTTCTTTTTCTGTTTTGAGGAATTCTAACTTGTAAGGTGCTAGTCTACATATTTTCTTAAAGAAATATAAGTTTCTATGAAAAATGTACTAATGCATAAAATAACATACGTAACAGTCATAATAGAATATAGAATACAAACTATGCCTCCGGCTGCTCATCCATCTTATCATTAATATGGCTTGTAGGCTTGAATTTCGGACCTTACCTTACAACAACTTCGATCGTATACTTGCAACTGGCTGAATGAGCTACATCAAGTAGAATCCTAGCTTGATTAAATTTTCTCTTTTTATATTAATGTGTTAAGAAGGATGTGGTTACAAAAAAAAAACATCACTAATCCCTATTTAAACTTAATATGTTACTGTAAAGAACCAATTCAACCCAAAAGCTTAAGCTATTGGGTGAGGCTACATTAATGGTTTTTATATATCTCAACACGTCCTCTCACACGAGAGCTCACTGGGCTTGAAGAGTGGACAATGCACAGACCCACTACCTGTGTGAGCAAAGAGATTCCACTTGAAAGAAAGTGAGGGGCGGCGAGGATCGAACCCGGGACACGAGGCTCTGATACCATGTAAAGAACCAATTCAACCCAAAAGCTTAAGCTATTGGGTGAGGCTACATTAATGGTTTTTATATATCTCAACAGTTACTCCTAAAATAAGGAAACAAATCATGAAATATAAAATAGTGAAACTAATCCTAAGAGATCCTCTAGGATACTCTAAACTATTATTTGAAATAAAATATAAACTATAAAACCATTCATTTTTCTTGACATTATAGGTTAGCTTTTGGGAGAGTTGGTTGTATGACATGGTCTTCTATTCTTGCCGCATCATTCTTCTAGTAATCTTCTAATAAATATTGCTTCTTAACACAATGTATATGAGGCTGGGAATTGTCCTTCTTTCAAACCTAAAGGGCTTTCGTGTGAAGGGGCTGTTAGAAATAAAATATAAAATATAAAGCCATTCATTTACCTTTACTGTATAACTTAAGCTTTTGGGAGAATTGGTTGCTTGACTATGATACAATCTTAATATTTTACGTTATCTAGATATTCTAATGCCTATTTCCATGATATTTCAGTTATATGTTATTGTTTTCGTCCTTTGTTAGCAATGTTTATGTAGCTAGATGCTACAAATTCTGGATAGTTTCCATCATGATCCTATGATCTATATTTTGTAGATTTTCCCAGTCAGTGAAAAGATTGAGAGTATTAATGATCAATATTGGACACTCCGAGCAGAGGAGGTAAATATTTGTATATATGCTGTTTCATAATAATAAATTGTTTAGTTTTCGGGACAAGTTGTTACTAATTAGTATTTGAATACTTGATCTTGAAATTTCAGATATCCCACCAGCTTTGTTGTTGTTAGAATGTATATATGAAATTGTTAGTTTGTTTAACATCATGTAAACAGGGTTCAAAGCCATGTATCTTATTATTATAAATATAATTCTTGTGCAATAGCCCGAGGTAGACCGTCGATCAATCACAGATCCAACATAATCGGCGTTAGTATAAACTTCCAAGGATAGTTTTCCACTTCTCTTGAATAATAGTCCTTTGTTTGGTCTGGCCTTGAGATATTGGAGAATTCTTTCTACTGCATACAGATGCTTTTCCGTTGGGTTTTGCATGAACTGACTGATAATGCTAACTGTATAAGATAGATTAGGTCTAGTATGACCTAGATATGTCAATTTTTTTACCAGCCGTTAATGTTGCCCTTTATCAACTAGAGGGCTTTCCTCTTCTTTTTCCAATTTATGATTCTGCTCACGTGGAGTATTAGAAGGTTTGCACCCAAGCTTTCTTCTTTCTTTAAGGAGATAAAAAATATACTTTTTTTGATTGATGAAGATTCCTTGCTTTGAATGGGCAGAAAATATCTCAATTTTTCAAAATCTTTAATTTCAAATTGAGCGGTTAGTCTTTCTTGAAAAACATGTTTCTCAATTGTATCATCCCCTGATATAATAATGTGATACGACTCCTATTAAAGTGTATGCTAGGCATCATTATAGTAGATTATGGCTGAATGATGACTTAGCTATTTAAAATATTCCGGAGAATGAGTTTGCTAGAAGAGAGAAGAAAGTTGGTTGCTGAAGTGGCTAAGTGGATTGAAGGAATAAAAGGGATGGGAAGGCATGAGCAAAGAGGAGGCTGGATTTGGAATTGGGCTTGGGAGAGAGCACATCTCTCGAAAGTGTTGCACCCTTTGCTGTTCATGTTCAACTTTTCTTACACAATTTGTAGCTATTTTCATTGTAGTAGTTTTCTCTTCTGTATTTCATTTTTGCCTCATTTCCTTACTGTAATTTGTTTCTTCAATATATATAAAAAAATTCAGATCGTTCTGGGTAAAAAATGTCTCTTGTTTGCTTTTGTTGTTTGATTATCTAATCGGGTCCTATCAATTTGGGTTGCGGAGCGTGGTGAAATGTTTGGACCCATTTGCAAGTTATAGGACTTGGAGTCTCACTTTGGTTGTATGGGCAACTAAGGTGAGGTTTATAAGGCCTTGGGCACTCTCATCCTTTGAGCTAGCTTTTGGGGTAATGCATCTCGAGGTTCTTATCATAATGTCATCAACTTAAATTAGGAGAATGATGACCTTACCTTTTTGAGAGTGTTTAAATAAAAGTGTGTGATCTCCTTGACTCTGCTGGTATCCCAATGATAACATGACCTTGGTTAAGTCTCCAAACCAAACACGTGGGGATTGCTTCAACCCATGCAAGGCCTTCTTTAACTTACACACTTTGTTATCTCCATCATTTATGGAGTCCACTCCCGGTGGAATCTCCATGTAAACTTCCACTTCTAACTCGCTATTGAGAAAGACATTCTTCACATTTTATCCACCGGAGCAATTGTATCCTCATAATCAATACCAAAAGTCTATGCGTAACCTTTGGCTACTAATCGAGCCTTATACCTGTCAAGAGTACTATCTGAATTATATTTCAAAGTATAAACGCTTCTACACCCCATTGCTTTCGTTCCACTTGGCCTATTAACAACTTCTCATGTTCTATTTTTCTCCAAGGTATTCATCACGTCATGCATGACTTGAACCCAATTATCATCTTTTATGCAGTTTCTTAGTAGAGGCGAAGTAAGAGATAGGTTGTTGTGTACAAGACTTTTTTCTTTCCTTAAAGGCAACGAGTAAGTCATCAGGATTTATAATATTAGGCTTAGGATTAGAAATAGTAGTACATTCAGTACTTACCGGTGGTTCAGGCTATTGCAATAGCTGATGGGGCAATGTGTGTTGTTTCTTCTCCTATACAATAATTGAGGTCTCCTATTTAGTAAATCATCAGGATTTATAATATTAGGCTCAGGATTAGAAATAGTAGTACATTAAGTACTTATCGATGGTTTAGGCCATTGCAGTAGCTGATGGGGCAGTGTGTGTTGTTTCTTCTCCTATACAATAATTGAGGTCTCCTATTCAGTAAGTCATCAGGATTTATAATATTAGGCTCAGGATTAGAAATAGAAGTACATTTAGTACTTACCGATGGTTTAGGCCATTGTAGTAGCTGATGGGGCAGTGTGTGTTGTTTCTTCTCTTATACAATAATTGAGGTTTCCCAGCCTTTTGTATGTTGTTAAGGGGAGGCATGTCAAATGAAATATCAGATGAACTACCATTAAGTCTTCCTGCTCATTATCCGCCTCGTCAACTAAGTCTTCGTGCTTATTATCGCATAGTGTAGTAACTGAGGCAAATTCAATAGAGTATGACTCAAAGAGGTTTAGGCAAAGGAGAGTGGGACTTAGACTCGAAGAAAATAGATGAAGCTTATGGATCACTCCCCCCCCCCCCCACCCCCCTCCCTCTGAAGATAAGGACGAGTGAAGGATTCATCTTCATGAAAATTGACATCCATAAAGACAAAGAAATTATGTCTTGGAGATGATAACATTTGTATGCCTTTTGTCGGGAGAATAATCAAGGAAGACACTTGAGAGCTCGGGGTTCCAATTTACTCCGGTGCTGTTTCTGAATATGGACAAAGACCACACACTCAAAGACTCGAGATTGAAGACTTTGCATAACTCGAATAGAAGAAAAGAAAGATATCATGGAATGAATATGATTGACATGGCCAAGCACACGAGAGGGTAAGCTATTGATCAAATAGGCTACAATTAACAGGGTTTCTCCCAAATAGGAGGTGCGAACAAATGTTTGAAAAAGTAATGCTCTGATTACTTCAAGCAAGTGACAACTTTTTCTTTTAACAACACCGTTTTGTTGAGGGGTGTCCATGCATGTGAGCTCATGTATCATTCCCTTATCTGAAATGAATTGTGACAGGTGCTGGTTGGCACACTCTGTACTGTTATTAGAAATACTTTTACCAAACTGTGTCTCGATCATGTGATAAAACTGAATAAACAATTCTGGTACTTCTAACTTCTCTTTCATCAAGAATATCCATGTAACCCAAGTACTTTCATCAATAATGGAAACAAACCACTTAGCACCCGAAATATTTTGCACCTTAGAAAGACCCCAAACGTTAGAATGAATGAGAATAAAGGGCATAATACTTTTTATTGAACTTGAAGGAAAAGGGTACACGATGGTGTTTTGCAAGCTCACAAACATGACAATGGAAGGAGTCAATTAATTGATGCAGAAACAAAGAAGGAAACATTGACTTAGGTAGGCTAAAAGACGGGTGCCCCATGCCTTGTGATGAAGCCAAATCTATGATATTGGATTAGATGAGTGACGAGTTACTAATAATTAATTCTTGGTATCACTTGTAGCATGCTTTGGATTGAGATAGTATAGCCCACCCTGCTCCTTAGCAACTCCAACCATCCTTCATGTGGTGAGGCCCTGAATAACACAATGAGTAGGAAAAAATGTGACGACATGATTCAAGTTGTAAGCTTATAAGTGGAGATAAGATTGGTGGAGAGTTGAGGAACATGAACATTTTTTTAGAATCAAGGAAGGTTGAATTTGAATATTACTAGAACCCACAATTGATTTATGAGATCAATCAGCTACAACTATTATGGATACCTCTAGTAGGGTGTTATGAAAGAAACGACTTAGCTAGACAAGTCATGTGACTAGTTGTTCCAGAATCCATAGTCCATAAGTTTTTGAAATCATTGCAGGAATCAAGAGGGGTATGGGTCTGATCTTATCAGACATGGCCAAAGAACACGTGTCAGGAAGCTTACTAAAAGTATTGACAGTGGCCATAAGTTGCTCCTATGCCCTCGTCAAATAGTCACATATTGGTATGCTTTACCAAGTTTCTCTAGAACCTGTTCCTTCCCATGAAGGTGAAAACACATATCTTTTGTGTGTTCAAACCCTTTACGGTGGATGCACCAACGTTCCATGGACAAAAAAAGAATGCCACACAAGAAAGTGAGTTGGTAATTACCCACAAAGTCTTCATAGATCCCAAACAGCATGGGAGGACCAGAACTACACAATGGAGGTCCAAGAGAGCCAACTGACTCGAATCTGGACCAAAAAAGGTGGGATCTTGGCCAAAAAATTGAATCTTTATATGTTAGATCACAAACCCGCAATCCAAACAGTCTTTGATCAATAAGATAACTACAGATTTGGAATGAGGAGAAAAGCTGGTCGAAGATGGACAGACGCCACATGCGTAGACAGAAAGGCGACATGTGAGTTCGCGCACAGAAGATCCTGGCTGCACATGAGAGTGTGACATTGCAAGTGGTGACGGGCTTTTGCGGAGTTGTTGATTTGGAGGTTGCGACATTGATTGCGTGGTTGCTGTAGCTATAATTGACTGGAAAGTATGCCAATTGGAGAGAAAAGGTACATCTGAAGTGTTTTGACGCATTTGGAGGGGCTGTTTGGATGTGAAATATTCCTAGAATAATAGATCTGGAGATTTTGAGTCTAAAAATGTCCTTTTTCGTCTGAAAAGGCTGTTAGAAATTTTTTCCCGTGGTGGCTGGTTACTGGAGATCACCAGGAAAGGAACTGGCTGTGAAGGCTCGACAGTTATGCGAGATAATCCGTACTAAAGGCAATGTCTTGTATGCACAAAAGGCGACTCAAGCCAGCAATAGAGGAAGCAAGAGGCTCCCATATTGAGAACTCTGATTTGAAAAGAAATTTGAAATATTATTGCTATTGCATAAAAGAGAGGTATAAATGGTTATTATCTTTATAGAGAAACTAACGGCCTAAAGAATTAAACCCAATTCCTAAGAAGTAAGGAAACATAATCTGGCTAATAAAGAAAAAAAATAATTACATAATCTGACTAATAAAGAAAACAAATAATAACAAATCTTCCATATTTATAACAATTTCCATTTTCCTAGGATATTTTGAGTTTGTCTTCGATGTTGTTTTTCTGTCATGATATGGTTTTATACTTCTTTCCCTGGCACATTATCCTTCTCCATTCTAGTCCATCAGGACAAGTTTATATTGATATCCTATTACTGCAGATTCCTGATCAAGAGAAAAACCTCGGCCCTCATGATCGGTTGATCCATGTTTATCATTTCTTGAAAGACAGTGCTCAAAATCAGGGGGTAAGATTAAATGATTTATATGTTTATACCTTTTTAATGCTTCTTTGGTCCAAATCCTTCTAAAATAAAATTTTATTTTTTGCAATTGAAGCATAATATACTACCTCTAAATTTTCTAATATTTTTACTTTATTTTTTTTTTTTGTATTGGTGGTGCTTTGCAATTAACAGCAAGTTCAGAACTTCGGAGATCCTTTTTTCTTGGTTATCCATGAGGGTGAGACATTAGCTGAAGTCAAATTGCGGGTGCAAAAAAAGTTGCAAGTTCCTGTTGAGGAGTTTTCAAAGGTAATACATTGGTAGTTTGATTCAATTATATGTTCCTGTTTTTGGTCATTCTGATGCAATTAGGCTCATTAGAAACAGAGAATTGGTTGAATAGAATTTCTGCGCCGGTGTATATCCGTATTTAAAAATATTCTTCCTAATAAAGGGAAGAATAATGGAGGAAAGTATCCTTCATGATAAAAACAGAAAATCCTGGGAGATAAGGCTTCCCGACTTTGCAAGAGTAGGGCCGAGAGTCGATCGTACGTAGCCTGACTTTTGCATTTTTGCAAAGAGGCATTTTTCCATACTCGAATGGGTGACCTTCCATTCACAAATGAGCAAGCTTATCACTGTTCCAAGCCTCTCCCTCATCTTTCCTAATAAAAGGGGAAAAAAACTGATCACTAAAATTTCTGAATCTGACTAAACATAATCAAATATTATGCATAAATAAATAGTATTCTGGACAATCTTTCAGCACGTATGGTGAACTTTCAAGTCAAATTCTTGGAAAATCTTTGGGGACCAGAGGATGTGCTTCCCTCTTCGAATTGGGGATTAGTCTCATCCTTCCTCCGGTAGCGAAGCTAAATGCACCTGCTGTTTCAATGAGGGGGTAGCCTTTAGGGCCTTACTCCGAGGATAAGGTGACCGGAGGAGGTTGAATGGGAATACCTTCAAGTTATATATATAAAAAAAAAGTATTAAATTTCTTCGAGTTTTGTCAAATGAACTTTCAAGCTTATGTAGTCAATTTCCTGTTTGATATTCAGGTTACTTACACTTTTGAACCTATTTCTGAATGCTATGATTGTATAATTTATATTTGCTAATAAATAATAAATTATAATGCGATCTTTGTGTACTTTTTATTGCTTCTATTCTCATAGTAGACATCAGGTTCGTGTAATTATTGTTACTGTCTAGTATTTAAATTTTAAACTATGAAAGATTGTTTCAATCTTGTATTTCAGTCATTCACCGATAACTTTCTAGGTGGAGTCATTTTAGCTTCTCAATGATGATTAATGTTTTTCCTCTCTCTTTTGTGGTCCTTTCAGTGGAAGTTTGCGTTTCTGTCACTTAGTCGTCCTGAGTACCTTCAAGATTCAGATGTTGTTTCTACTCGGTTTCAGGTTTGTCAATGTTCTCTCTCCTCTGATTTCACCTTTCGGATGTGTGCATGTTCTGAGTTTGAGAATGTCCATGGATTTCAGAGTCGAATTATTTCTTTCCTGTATTTTTTTTTTTTGGTTACAACTTTAATGTAAATTTAAGTTGTTGTATTGTTTGATTGTTTAGAAAAGGGATATATACGGTCCATGGGAGCAATATCTTGGACTGGAACACACTGACAATGCTCCAAAAAGGTCCTATGCAGCTAATCAGGTATAATATTATCGGGAGATTAGCTCCTTCTTCCTTTGAGGATTGGGCTGTAACCTGTAGGTGGGTTATTTGCACCTCATGGTGGAGTGGGCATGTGATGTGGAATGACCTAGGGCATGTTTGGTGCGACGTATAAGGCATGATAGTATAAGCTTATACTTTCAGTTGTTTGGTGTGATCATCGTATAGTATAAGCTTATACAACAAACTCTCTTGGACACACTGATCAATAAATTTTTGCAAAAATTAATATCATATGACATTTTTTGAAAAATTATATAAATTCTTTATTAAAGGATATTTTTATTAAAAATATTTATTTTTATCTTATACAATATATTATTTTATACAATACCGTGTCAAACGCTGGATAGTATTAAAATTCAATCAGGTTTTATACAATCAGACTTTATACTATCAAGTCTTATACTATCAGGCCTTATCCTATACTATGCATCAAACATGCCCCTAGTGAACATATACTGGAGGAAATTTGTTACAATAGGAACTTCAAATTTTAAATTAAAATAACCTTATTGAAAATAATAAAAAAGTTAAAGCTCATCTATACACATCCCCCCTCTCCCTTATTTGCGGTTTTCAAAAGCTTACAATGATTACTTCTCAATTTTGCAGAATCGTCACACATTTGAGAAGCCAGTAAAAATCTACAACTAGAAAAAATATTCATCATCTGGATCAGTAAATTTAATAGTACTATATGCTAGAAGCACTTGTAACATTTTGAAGGTAACAAGAAGCGTGGAGAAGCTGTCAATCTTCTTAAGTAGTCTGTTCAAATCCATAATTTTTTGTTTATTTTTTTTTAGCGGAGGGTTTGGGGATGACTATAGCCTTGAATAGTAATTTAAAATCTTGTCTCTTCGGCACTCATATTTTCGGTGGTTTGGAGGTTGAGTTTTAAATTCCTAGACCATTTGGTACATAAGATTTTGGGTTGGGTTGTGTATAGAAAGTATAGGTATACTTAATTGTTTTTTATGTCCTGGTTCTCCCATTGTGGATTTTTGTTTCAGAGATATTTCTGACAGGATGGGGAATGTGTATTATGTTTCTCTGCAGGGTTTAACATGTAAATTATCCTGTGCCTTCTTTCACCAAAAATTTTGTTGGAGGCGTACTGATTTGTGTTTAAAGGAAAACATTAATTTACCGTCTGTTTCTCATCTTCGAGTAGCTGATGTATTCTCGAAGTTGTTTTACACCAGTTAACTGGTTTTACTCTCCTTGTGTTAAATTTGTCACGGTACATTGCAATCACCCTCACTCACGATGATAGACTTCAAAATATTAATGAAAAATCATTGAATAATATTTCTTTTATTATTCTTATATGGGTTCATTACAATATATAAGCTCTTTGTTAAACAATTAATTTCCTAATATAATAATGACCAAACTATGGTAATAGTATATTTTACAATAATTGTAATGATTTTTAGAGAATATTATGGGGTGAAGTCTACCTAACATATGTGGGATAATCACAACCTTCTCTCAGTCATGATGAATAAATATTTATAATTCACATAGCCAATAAAATCCTAAAACTTTTCTAAGAAAATTTTAGTTAACAATGGGGAAGTAGAACCACAGAATAAACAAATTTTATTGAGTCTGGTATTCAGTCTCCTTTGTTTTTTTTTTGAAATGTTGATTTATCTTAATATATTTAGTTCTGTCATATTTCGGTTATATTTATCTCACAACATTAGATAATCCATCTTCCTATCACATATAACAAAGGTGGATTCTATATTTTTTTTTCTCCAATGATTTGTGGGGTCCTTATAATTTTTTTTCACTAACATAAGATAACTCATCTTAAATATTTTTCATCATATTTTACTAAATTATGAGTTATTATTATGAGTTTGCTTTTTCTGCAATTACTGCAGATAAGTTATCTGCAGTAAGCCCAATATGATGTCGTTTTTGGGCGAAAATTATGGTATTTTTGTAATTTTAATTTATTTTAGGGTTATTATAGTCTTTATAATTTAATTTTTTAATATTTCAAACTCAAAACAACGTCGTTTGGGAGTAAATGCAAATAACTTATCTCCAGTAACTGCAGAAATATTTTTCTGTATTATTATAGATAAATTGTTATCATACAATAACCTCATTGGAATATTATATTTTATTCTTATATATTGACACTTGTGTTACTAATCATATGACCTTTCATTCTTCATGTTTCCTATCTGATGATGTTTTGCTAGTTCACAAATATAAAAATGAAAAGGCTCAACAAACTCCAAAAATAAAAATGCAGAGTTTAATAGAGAAAAATGAGAGTGACCAAGATGCCTATGTTGAAGCAAGACTTGTAAAGTAGGGTCCTTGAATTTGGACTGATGACAAGAAACTAGCATCTTTTAATGGGGACTATCTAATTTCTATTAAGGAGATTAGGGGTGTGTATGGAGCGGTTCATAATCGAATTTGACAAAAACCAAACCGAACTAATTTTAAATGGTTTGGTTTTCAAATCGAACCGATTTTTTTTTTAAAATTGGTTTTTATTTATCCAAACCGGTTTGAAACCGGTTCCAAAATCGGTTTATGGTTCAAAATCGATTTTGATTTAAAATCAATCAAAATCGGTTCATGGTTTTCATTCAAAATCGATTTTAAATCAAAACCGGTTAAGAATCACAAACCGGTTATCAAGTTCAAAACTAATTTTATAACAACTTAAAATTGATTTTTAATGAGTTGTACTATTTTTCTTTTGAAATAAAATAAAAAATACTTTTATTATTTATTTATTTATTTTTTGCTAAAAATATCTAGGCAATTTTGATTAAAATAAGAAGTAAAAAAATGATGATAACACATAAAATCAACAAAGAAAAAAAAAACCAAAACGTGCATTGAGAGAAGAGAAGAGATATTTGGGAATATAAATGTTACGTTTCCAACAGTAAATATAGAAACACCATAAGAAGTTAGAGATGAAGTAGAGAAGAATGCCACTAATGTAGTTACGATGCCATGTATGCAAGAACCGAGGGAGTGGGACCCACACAGATGGCGGCAACAATGTTCCCAATACTATGCGGTTGTACCAGTCAGTGTCTTCCACGAAGAGTTCACGATACTCGTCCATGGAAGAAGGTTAAAAAGTTAGGATTCATATGCTTAGAGAGATTCAGAATATTGAAGTTAAGGTTAAAAAGTAAAAATAATGTTATCAAAAAAAAAAAAAAAGTAAAAATAAAAAACAATTAAAAAAATGGATATGGTTTGGTTATGATATCCAAACTGTTGTGAAAATGGATGACCGAACCTAAATAAAAAATTGGATTGATTTTTTAAACCGTTTTATAAAATTCGATTTTTGGAACTAGTGTGGTTCAGTTTATAGATTGGTTTGGATCATTTGATTTTTTTTGAACACTCCTAGAGGAGATGATACAAACAATATCCCAAAACAAATAGAGAATAGAAGATAGTTACTACGCAGTTTGTCATTGCTAATTTTATGAATTGGGATTCTTTTAGGATAGTTTGGAACGTTTAGTACAAATTTCAACTGTTGGGAAGGATGGATGTTGATAGTTAGTTGAGTAAAGTTTGTGATAAGAGGAACCCTTTTATTGAAGAACAAGAACAATTTTTATTCAAGATAATGAATCCTGTTACAAGCAGTGTATTTATATAAACATACCCTGAGCCTCTTTACAACTTCCTCATTAACTAACTAATAGAATTCGCAAATCATTGTACAGGCCTTAACTACATTACACACTAACAAGCCTGATAATCCACGGCTTAACTGGGAGCACTGGCCATTCTTTTGGGCCTAGCCAATCCAGCTCCTTTGGCCCCATTCGTATCAGTTTGATTTAATGCTTTCCCATTGTGTCATTGGTGAATTTTATTTATATTTTTATTTACGATGACTTTTCTGTTCTTCTTTTCCCCCCCTTTTCAATGCTTTTTTTTAATTACTACTAATATTTTATTTAAATGGGTCCAAGTTATCTTCCTTGCATGTTTGGGATTCCATTACCCATTTCTTCCGTAAACTCTCTCATATTTTAGCAAGAAATTTCCTTCATTTAGAGGCGGAATTTCATCCCATTTGTGGTAAGTGGAGCTTTTTGATATTGATTATTCTTTCAATTAATTTATTTTCTTTTCTTTTCTGGTGACACTTGCAGCACAATGCACTTGCTTTGACTGTATGTAGTAACTTAACTTACTAGTTGTTCCGGATGGCCCAACCATTGGCGGCCCAATGGTTCAGGCCCAACTTCAGCCTCCTGCCCACGTCAGCCCTAGGAGCTATCAAGGATCCCTCCCCAACGCCCAACACAACGACTCTCCCTAGGAGAAGCACCAAAACGTCCTGTCTTGGGACCTCAACCCCCAAGGGCGACCACCACAGTCACCACAAAGGGAAATTCCCTCTTTGTCCCACGCTGACACCGCCAGAGGCAGAGGGCGCAGCGCCGCTATCATAGCAGCGCCTGCCACGCCCAACACTGCCACCCGTAGTGAATCCCAAGAAGGGTTGACCCCCTCCTCACCAACTCACACCAGGTGCGCACCACCTTCCCCTATAAAGAGCCCCTTGGGCGCACCATGAAAAGCCTTATCTTATGTATCGTTATTATGCCCATTTATATTAAGTCACATATACTCATACTGAATCATCTATTGTTATCTTCTTGCCATCATACTTGGTACAGTGCTTTCTAGCTTGGTCTTTACCTCTGCTAGTGGCACCATCCATATAGTGATATCATCCCCAAAGGATAGATAGTGGGCTTATAGATTCCAACGGTACATTGGCGCCATCTGTGGGAAACTATAAACTTCCGTTCCCATTCTCCTACCAAAGATCTAAAGGAGGCATTTCACTTTCTGATAGCAAAACATGGCTATCACGACAAGAAGAGCAGAACAAACTAGAGCTGCTACCCCTGAAGGTCATGCACAAACAGTTCATTCTAACTCTCCACCATGCATGCATTCAGCCCCAGCTGAGCAAGTAGTCGGCGAGGCCCTTCCCCCGGTACTACAATATGTTGGCCCACAGTTAGCAGCAGCAGACGCTGAAGTAGCACAGTTGCATCGTCGCGTAGCCATACGCGAAATGCAAGGAGAGAACTTGATCCCAAATCAACCTCCACCGCCAGGAGTTCATTTTGAAATGCCACTCCCCATCCCGCCCGCATATCATCCCCCCAGCTTATCACCAACGACCAGCTAGAAGCCAACCCGTCGCTATGTACAACGACCACCGAGTTCTAGTGGCCGCCCCATATCCCCCTGGACCTTACACCCACAATGTTGCTGCCCCTTACTTCCCACCTTTCCCTACTGGCTTTCCAGTCCACGGTTACGCAATACCGCCCCATAATGCTATCATCCCACAACCCCAAGGATCAGGCATAAACCCAGGCCCGCCACAGTATGGCGCTCATCAAGCCCCAGCCCTCTCTTACTCTGTTGAGACCCCCCAAGCACCACAGCCACCACCAGACCTACATGCTCGTAACCCGAACTTAAGAGTAACACCTGCCAACACCTCAGGACGCAACAAACCCCTGACTTATAGTCTACGCTTAATGCCCATACCCCTCGGTTTCAAAGGGCCGTCAAATATCAAAACATATGTGGGCGACATTGATCCTTTGGAATGGATCCAGAATTTTGAGGCAGCAATGACCCTACATGGTGAGACAGACCTCCTTATGTGCAAAACTTTTCCTACAGTCCTAGGGGGTAGAGCTTTGACAGGGTACACCACTTTGCCAACAGGGAGTATAGCATCCTGGGATGATCCGGCCAGCAAATTCCAGACCCATTTTGCAACAAGCCGCCCAGTGCCTAAGTCTGTGCACGCCCTCGAAAAAATTCGACAGCAATCAGGGGAACCCCTCAGATCTTTCCTTGACCGCTTTGACAAAGACGCTCTTCAAGTGCAAGGCTTAGACCCTAAAGTGCAGGTGCACATACTCTTGTCAGGCCTGCGCCAAATGGCGTTCGCATACGAGTTCGCCCGCCACGAAATTACTAACCTTGAAGAAGTCAAGAAAAAGGCTCAGGAGTTCATGATGATTGAAGAATACAAGGGGAGTAGAGCTGAGGACTCTCATAACCGAGAGAAGAAAGCCAACAAAAAAGACCAACCGGATGA